TTCTGTTCTGTGTACAATATTTGAAATATTATGAGAATATTCTATTATAGGAATTTATATCCTGCCCTCATTTCTGTCCCTTTGCAATAAGCTACATTCAATTTTCTTTACTTTGTTATAATTTATTTGAATTTACTTTCCTGTATTAGTTTATTTGACTTGTTTGTTTGTTATCTCGTGCAAAATATTTAAATTAGACAATCTATATTTATAAAAGAAAGTTGTGTTAGTTATACTATTTATACCTCAAGAACGGCTGTACGGGTATGGATGAACATTGGTGGAGAGATAGATTAGAACAAGGAGATGGATATAAGTAACTCTATTCGCTCGAAAAAGAAAACACTAAATAAACTCCAATATAATTTATGGTCTCTAGCGCTGAACAGAGTTCGTCCAGTCAGCTATACATAATAATATTACTAATTTCGAAATTAACGCGTACGAAATCGGGGACAGAAACTAGTTTATAAATTACCTTGTATTTCAATGAACATTTTCTAAGACTATCATGTTGCTATAAAAAACTCTCTTTATATACTACTTTGAGAACATACTCCTATAAGAATCACTGGATAAGTACATTTATATGTAAAAGAAGATATTTATTAATAAAAATAATGAATCTTTGGTTTAGGTAAATAAGGTCTAAATTGGCTTAATACTTTAATAAATATAGCTTTTTATTGTTGAAATACTTCAACGTTGTCTTTCGCAAAAAAATACTAATATCTTCTTGGTGACCAAAATAAAATTAAATTAATTTTCCATTGATTCCCTTACTACTAATTCAATGAATTAAATATTGTAAGGTTTTTCTGACATACCTATAGGCTATGAAAGCTTGTCTATATAGCTATGAAAGCGTAACTATATGCTCAATATTTCCTAACTATGAAAGACTAAGACTTACACTCATCAAATAGAACGAAGCAGATGTGTTTCATTTAGTTTAATAAATTGAAACAGGACATAAAATCTAATTTAGAGAAGCCGTCACTCTGCAGTTGATAGCAGACTTTTATTTGAAGAAAAACGATCTCTAACTGCCACTTCGTTTAACGCTCCTGTTTCATTATAAATTGTTTTATACTAGTTTTTGCCCGCAACTTCGTCCGCGTTAATTTCGTCATTAGTAATATAGGTATAGCTGACCGGGCGAACTTTATTCCGACTTCAATAACCCGGGGTTTGGTATTTATTAAATTTCTACTGTTTTAATCGTACAGAATGATTGACATATTAGTTAGTTGTCAAATCTAATGTCAAAAAATCGTTTGTATGGGAAATAGAAAAGGGTTGTTTTTAGGGTTTTCCCGGCAATTATTCCAATTTTTCTCACCTTTTAAACCTTCCCTGGACTTCCAGGAGTATTTCAAGACTAAAATTAGACAAATCGGTTCAGCCGTTCTCGAGTTTTAGCGAGACTAAGGAACAGCAATCCATTTTTATATATACTATATAGATATTGTGCAAAGTGCAAAGAAATATTACACTGTTTATCACGTCTGCTTAAAAATTTTAAAATAACTTTTAAATTACTATGTTTTAAGGATTTATGAAAGGTTTAGTTATATTATTCCATTTTAGCTAAAGGGGTATAAAACTCCCACAAATGTATTCTATTTTGTGAAATTGACAAACAAACAAGATAAATACCACATTTAAAGTTTTAGCGTTTCAAATAGTACCATATGGGTACAATTTGAAAACTTTTTAAGGTCCTTAAAATTAAATAATGTATTTGTTTATAAATAAACATAAAAAATAAAATTTAATTAAACGTTATATAATATACACATAATTATTATTAGAGCAGTTAAATAGAGAGTTTTCTAACAGCCAGAGATTATAGGAAAACCACGAAACTTATTTATATGTATATAATAATAATAAGAATTACATATTAAAACTTATAACCTACACCTAAAACTACATGAGTGACCCGATGTTAGGATAGCAATACCATTCCATAGCTTGTGTGTATCAGGAATCTTCTGGTCCACACGGCTTGGTGTTCGTTCCGCGGAGTCAGCGGCGTCAAGAGTTATATGTAGTGTGGATACACTATATGGATATACAACGTTGTTACCCCGGCGATGCTCATTTAATTTGAAATACGTTCCGCATACATTAGTGATTAAAAGTCCTTCAAAATCTATTTTTTGGGTACTATTGTTATTTTATTATGCTCAGAATTTATCCTATAATGTTGTTCTATTACAACTTTAATACACAAAAAACTAACACTCTGCAATAGCTTGCTGAATTTTTAACAATATTATCTTTTATAAGAAAATGGAGATTAAATCATGAAGTTTAAATACATAAGAAATATTTTATAATTAATTAAATACAAATTAATTAAAGTACTTACAATAATATATATCGGCGCTACCAGCTTTAATAACGGATGCGACTTGAAAATAATTTGAGGCTGTCATCAATTCTTATTAAACCTCATTAGTATTTATGATTATTGTTAAAAGTAAAACGAAATCAAAGGAGAATAGAACAATGTTTGAATCTTGTAAAAAATATGACGTCTGAACTCACGACGGCGGACTCCAGAATTGAGAATTCAGCATTGATAATTCAGAGTTCAGTGAGCGTGTATCATAGAAGCATGTTATTATGAAGAATCTTTGAGAAATACAAGAGCATTAAGATCAATTGCAGTTTCATTTTAAAATATCATCGAATGCTCTAGAAGAAGTGACATTTGTAACGACAGCGAGGCTGGCGTCTCTCTCTTTAAAATCAACGAATGTGTAATAAATCCGATATATAAATTATATAAGTTAAAGATGGTACGAATTATTATTAAAGTTTTTTTTATATAAGAAAAGTGGCAAACGAACAGACGGCCTTCTAGATGGGTAGTAGTCACCGTCGCCCCTGGACATCTGCAACTTAAAAGATGTTGCCAATGCGTTGCCCTTGATTTTTTGGGAGAAGGAAAGGTTGGGAATAAAGAGAGGTCAGGATAGGATAGGGCATCCGGCTCTCATACTCATCTGACGAAACGCAGTCATTAAAGACTACTTCACGCCGATCTTCTGTGAGAGGGTGGTACTTCCCTGGTCGAGCCAGCACATGTTCGAGCTGTAGTAACTTGACTACAGCTAGATTCTACCACCTTAAATACAATATTTTTTAGGAAATACATATAACTATTGTTTCTATATAAAGTTCTTTTTAATTATTTGACAAGTATATTAAGGATTAATCAAACTTTATTATGAATAATGAGAGTAACAAGTTTGATGTCTAAATTCTAGCACGTTCTAGTATAAATGTATGTCATTTTATGAGAAACGGGAAACTATATCACGTGTGATGATGTTACTCGTTCTAAAAGAACTGACAATGAATTGTAGTCAATTATTTGAGACTAATATTAAAAGAAAAGACATTACAGTAATCTTAAAATTGAGAAATTCTTAGAGAAATAAAATAGATAATATTGTGACATAAAGTATTGGCTATAATTGGTTAGTCAGTGGTGGCCTAGTTGTTAAAATACCCGCCTCTCATGCTTGAGGGCGCGGGTTCGATCCTGGCCCTGGCAAGTACCAATGTGATTTTTCCGAGTAATATGTAATTTCTAAGAGTAATTAAACATCACTGATTAATGCATTCCCAAAGAGGGTTAATATCAGGCAGGCGGCCGGTCGTAAAAAACAATGAACCAAAACTATTCACAACATGTAAGGCAGACCCTGGCTAAAACTGTGAAATTGCCAGGTAGAAGAAGATAAAGTATTGGCTATAATTAAAGTTAATTAAATATTACTTTAGTCTTTTAAGTATTTAATAAAAGTTTAAGTGTCTCATTTAACAATTTTATAACATACATATGAATAATTACTGATTGATTTTAAACAATAGGAAAGTCACATCATAAGAAATTAATAAAAGGCAGTGACATTCAAATAATAATTTTAATTTTTCTAATACGTTAATTGAACCTTTCTGTGAGATCAAAGACTCGCGAGTATTCATTTAAATGAAACTAATATTTTTCGGATTACTACTCGTATTTTATATAGACGCGTTAGATAGAGACCCCTTAAACCTACACCTGGGTCACAAGTCACAGTCACTGTTGAAGCTCCTCTCACTACAACGATGGACCCGACACACGCACCGTGAATACATGGAATGATGAGAGGTTTCGTCTCTCTATATATATTAAACCTACACCTGGGTCACAAGTCCCAGTCACTGTTGAAGCTCCTCTCACTACAACGATAGACCCGGCGCCCGCACGATGAATCCAGGGAATGCTGATAAGTTTAGTTTCTTTTAAACTACATATTCCCGACGTTTCTGTTACTTTACAACCGTGATCATTAAGACGAGATGTGGACGACATAATATTAGTTTCATTTGAACCTCTCTATTTTCAACTCTCCTTATATTAAATACAATTTTAATTCTATTATTTTATATATTAAATTATTTATAGGAAATAAGAAACCTTAATCAAAGTAATTATTACGTACTATTCAATTAAAGCCTGAAGTATTCCCAAGCTTTAATAAATTATGATGTGCCTTATGATTTTCTATAATGTTGTATTCAAGGGGCCATAATTCCACCCCTCACTGGATATAAATATATAAAAAACTTTATAGAAGACTTCATTATACATATATATGTAAAGTTTTCCTTAAACAACACCTCTTAATTCTTGATGTATACGAGTTTTGTTTCTATTGATTTCAATCTACTTCTTCAATTCCTCATTTAAGGAAAGGGTTTTAATAATGATATCTTAGATTTTCGTGAGTATCCATTTAAATGAAACTAATATTTTTCTGATGTACTACACGATTCTTATTTTTATCAAAAACTACATACTCTTGACGTTTCGGTTACTTCAGAAACCATTATGTAGTTTTTGATTAAAATAAAAATCGCGTAGTACATCCGAAAAATATTAGTTTCATTTAAATAAAAGAATTTATTGGTATTAAATAAAATTGTTGTTCCAGGTCACACAAACTAAAGTCTTTCTGGCTGAGCATATCAGAGGAGCCTTTGCCAACCTTGGACTTCCTGTCAGCTGCTTTACTGTCTGCGGAGTACGAAAGGGCCCTGGGACGAGCGTTGATGATGCCAGAATGCAGACTGATACCGTTCTTTGGTGCTTTTCTCAGGGAACTCAGGTAATAGACTTCTACATAAAAAATAGCACATTATATGATTTGTACCATTTTAAGCTGGCTTGGAGCCAAGATTAAGCAATATGTAAGCACGAAATTACGTGGAACAGCTTGCCAGGCCGTTGGCTACGACAGTTCTCGTAAGTTTCAGTTAAAAAACTTGAAAGTCTATTAAATACTACTAAGGGTTGAAATTAATTTTTAAAATGCTTAATCCATTTTTAACAACAAAATAAAATGAATGTCCTACTTACCATTTATACTGTGTTTATTATTAATGTTAAAATTATAAAAATTATTTCGAAACGATAAATTTTATCATGAATAAATTATAATAAAGATATGTAAAGAAAATTAATTATAATATTAGAATTGCGTACTTATAATCACTACAAAAAACAATTATGTTTCGTCTTCTATTCTACGAAAAAACTAGTAACAAAATTAATAAAATATTATATAAATATAAACAGAAATTGTAAATTAAGATAAAAACCATAAATTAAACAGATTTATCTGATATAAATTGCTCAGCAATAGCTCATAAGTAACACAAATTATTCACCAACTCACCAGAAAGAATAGCTCATGTCACTACCAAAAAAATGTTACCTTCAAAAGCATCAAATTGTGAGTTTTTCAAAAGATTTCCTCAAGTCTCTTGGACACTGTTATAGAGAGTTGCTTCCTATCGAGGAGTATGTGGGCCAAGAACACGCCAAGACCTTGCTCCAATTACTTTTTGACTGCGTTTCAAGCTGTAAAAACGAGTTGAATATAAAAGGAATGGTATAATAACATATATGTAGTAAACAGAACATTTAAACGACATATGTATTTTTACTATATATAGGTAGATATTGAAAATATTGGTAATATTTTCGCAAAAAAAAAATTAATATAAAACAGATATATTCTATAAAACAACACAATAAAAATCTTGAACCTGGTAGTGAATTTATGGTAACAAAATTCGTGGCTATATTTTGTATAAATTTAATTCTTAGTTTCCTTTGATACAATAATAAAATTTTAAAGCAATAATTTTGTATATATATCTTAATATATGATTTCTTGATTTCACCCGAAACTCTTTATTTTGTTCTTAATACCATAAAATTTAATCAAATGTATTATTAATTTACAAAATAAATTAACATAATATTATGTATATAAATCGGTTTTTAGTTAAATATTATTCTTATGAGCTCCTCCTATTGATTGATATCCTTTAAAAACTGTTATTAATTTTATTACTATTTGACTGTCTTTTATGTAATCAAACTAATCTTTTATGTATAATATTTAAACCTTACACATACACATAGAAGACTCCTACAAAAATTGGAAGGTCTGTAGGGCCTATATCTAAAAAAAGTATTTTTCATTGTTGACGCAACACCACTTTTTGGTAGAATTTCGTCAAATCCGTTCTTAGTTGACCTCTACGTGTAGAAAGGTATGTTCCTACTAAATCTCTAAGCCTTATGGTTCCAGAGATATCGTGATAAGTCAATATATCGATGGAAATCTCATATATATCTATATATATATATATATATATATATATATATATATATAGATATAAATGATAAGTAGATATAGAAATAGATGTAGATGAACTTTTGAAAGCCAAACATATTCTTATTTAACTCACACATGTATATTGTATAAATTTAATTGAACGATGGAATTATACAGAGCAGTTATTACATTAACTGTAGTAAATAATAAAAAAATATCATAATTTTATAACCTTTTGCTTAATAACACGAGGCTTTTTAGTTTATAATGATATTGAACAATGCCAAATTGGATAGCAAGTTTTCTTCCAGATCATGAAGTTCATTAGGAAAAATTGTTTTATAGATCAGCACAGAAATATATAATAAAAAGTATTACATACTAATAAATAATAAAATATATATATGTACAGCAGTAATCGAGAAGATCAAGAAATCGTTGGCGATTAACAAATAACAAAACTAACTGACAGACACTTTCATCTCGTTTCATGATCACGGTTGATGTTAAACAATCGAATCTAATTAAATGAAATAATTTTTATAACTTTTCTTCCGAAATATAACAAAATAAGAAAAATATAATACGAAAAACTTAGGTACGAGTAGAAATATGTATTAATATTGGTTCTTTTCAAATTTGGTTACGTAAAGAGTGGAGCTTGGACGGTGGAGGTGAGCGTTTAACGCGTTAGATAGGGGTCCCTTAAACCTACACCTGGGTCACAAGTCCCAGTCACTGTTGAAGCTCCTCTCACTACAACGATGGACCCGACACACGCACCGTGAATACATTGAATGATGAGAGGTTTCGTCTCTCTATATATATATTAAACCTACACCTGGGTCACAAGTCACAGTCACTGTTGAAGCTCCTCTCACTACAACGATGGACCTGACACACGCACTGTGAATACATGGAATGATGAGAAGTTTCGTCTGCTCTCATAATTATCGTGTTCTGGAACATTGCAATATCAAATATCTTTAATATTAGAACAGAAAAACATAGTCAATTTAAAACAAGCAGTAGAGGATCTAATTGTGATGAATTTAATATAAATACGACCCATTTATATGTAGGTCGTATACATTTAATATAATCGTTGCGTTTAGTGCTATCAATAGGAACATATCTGAAAGCATATCTTCAATGTGGTTTCCTTTATGCATCAAACCAATTCTATCACACATACACATATACATATATATATATATATATATATATATATATATATATATATATATATATATATATATATATATATATATATATATATACACTATTTACTCCAGCTTCGTCGCTTCTCAATAATAATCGGACAAATAATAATAATTGTACATTATTTTAAAATCTATTTAGTTTTAGAAACAACAGATACTTTATTTCAATTAATAATATATAAATATACAAAAACAAAATCCAATTGCAATTGATTTCTAAAAATGTATTTATGCAATTCAAAAGCTTAACTATTATATCGTACTGTTTAAAAACGTTCCAACACTTCTCGTGTTACATTATAGTTACAGTTCAATCAAATTGATTATCATATCATATCATTAGATCATATCATATCATATCATTAAATCATCATTATACGATCGTAAAAGTTCTAAAAGAATTTCATCACCTCTTTATACATATCAATCAATTTCGAACAGACGCTCCAGTGACCACGCTCTGTGTATTAAATGACCAGTGTTTAAAATATCAATGGTATTCATGTTGAAGCCAATTACTTATTAATGGAGGATTTATGTACGATTGAATTCAAATATGTTCAGAATATAATTTGTTGGATATTTAATTGAGTTGTGCGGTTGTATTGTAATTGTTGCGTGCGGTTATGGAATCTACTTATACCAGGTTGTACAGGGTGTTCAGTGAGTGATTTGGAATGAAATTATTAAAACTTCTTCTTCTTCTCTCTGGCAATTTTCCCAGCTACAGCCAGGGTCTGCCTTACATGTTGTGAATGGTTTTGGATATTTGTTTTTACGACCGTCAGCCTGCCTGACATCAACCCTCTTTTGGGAATCAACATTAATCAGTGATATCTAAATACTCTTAGAAAATACATATGATTCGGAAAAATCACATTGGTACTTGCCCGGGCCAGGATCGAACCCGCGCACTCGGCAACGAGAGGCGGGCCCTTTAACCACTGGGCCACCACTGACTTTTAAAGTTATTAAAACTATGAATTTTATTGTTTTGTTGTTGATCCACATATGAAAACTTATTGTCTGCCTTAAATTTTGTATTAATGTTACTAGAAAATCCCTACTATAATATTATAAATGCGAAAGTAACTCTGTCTGTCTGTCTGTCTGTCTGTCTGCTACGCTTTCACGCCTAAACCACTGAACTGATTTTAATGAAATTCGGTACAGAGATAGAGTTGACCTTGAGAAAGAACATAGGATAGTTTTTATCCCAGACTTTTGAAAGGTTCTCTTGAAAACGCGATATAACCGAACTCCACGCGGCGAAGCTGCGGGCGGAAAGCTAGTATACTATGAACAAAATCATGGAATCGTGATCATTGTTCACTTGTAGTCACAATCAATTAGTGTAAAAAGAATCTTTCGTTCAATGAAATTCTTACAAAAATGTTAAATAATAATAAAATTTTAAATAATAATATAAAGATATATTGTACTAATATCATGCACAAGATTTTGTGAGTATGTATCGTTTGGACGTAGGGATGTTTGTGCCTTCACGAAAATTCTATTAAACAAATTTTAATGAAACTTTACAGCAATGTAGGTGAAATATCAGAATATGATATCGGCTATAGCCCAAGATATAATTCTTCCAGCAATTCCTTGTAGCAACAATGATATCAAGGCAGATGTTGTATTGCCGTATTGATTATTTTTACACCAGATACATTAAGTCAGTGGTGGCCTAGTGGTTAAAAGGCCTGCCTCTCATGCACGAGGGCGCGGGTTCGATCCTGGCCCTGGCAAGTACCAATGTGATTTTTCCGACTCATATGTACTTTCTAAGAGTATTTAGACATCACTGATTAATGCATTCCCAAAGAGGGTTGATGTCAGGCAGGCGGCCGGTGTTAAAAACAATTTGTCCAAATTATTCACAACATGTAAGGCAGACCCTGGCTAAAGCTTGGAAATTGCTACGTAGAAGATACATCGTGATGAGTCAATATATTGAGAGAAATCTCTTATATATCTGTATATATATTTTCTGGCTAACTTTCTATATTACTGAATTACAACCAATTTTTCCATACAGATGTAAAATAATTTAAGACGGAACCTCATATAAATATATACAATATTAAACAAAGTTTCTTCTTTCAGAGAGATCCTATCAGCCACTCCGCCTTTAACGAGTCACTCTGTCGCCGCTACTCCGACCCACAGAAGAGATTTCAAACGCGAATCCACTAAAGATGAAAGGTAAGAAAGTTCTGATTGAAGATAGTTATAGAAATTTTTGATGCTTCTACCAAATTCTTATTGAAAATTTCGCCAGATCTACATTGGCTACAGTAGCAATCACTATAATGAGTATATAACATTTGTAAGGAATATAAAAAAAAAGAGAATTGTACCAATAAAAATGCGAACATTTTAATAACACAGTGATTACACGAAATGTTTAATTCTGTAATGTTAAATAATTTAAACTCCAATAAAATCTTTCACACTTAATCAACTAAAAACATATTTATTTTGATTCACAAGTATATATTTAATTAGATAAATAAAATGTATGTCTTTCATGAAAATACCTGTAATATCTCATTTAAATGAAACTAATGTTTTCGGATTTTACTTCGCGTTTTTATTTTTGATTATAAACTACATACTCCCGATGTTTCGGCTACTTTTCAGCAACCGTGATCACGGGCAGACGAGATAATCTCATGTTCAATTATCAAATAATCACACAATACCAAGATTAGCTGAGGCAATTAAATTCTAAGGAAATTCTAATTATATAAATGGGGGATAATCTTAAAATAATTTTATATAACTACAATTGTTTTAAGCTGTTAAGAAGATACTATTTAATTACCCTAAGTACTGGTACATTTCGTTTTCGTTTGTTTTTCCTAGTCAATCGGAAAACTATTCACGCGGTACAAGAATGGGTTTATAAATTAACAATAATAGTAAAAAACACGCTTTTTTATGTCAAACTATTATTTATTTTTTGTTTTTTGTGGACATGAGCAGATCGCACACTAGCTCTGTCCCTTTCACTCTCATAGAGGATCTATGAAAAGAAATTAATCCTGGCGGCCCTAACAAGGATAATGGGAAATTGTTAACGAATTATTGTATTATCATTGGTCCTTGAGACATGCAAAGTTTCAAGTTAATCAGATGTTTAGAAACCGGTGAAAATCATGCTCAAAGATTCCGCTACATACATACAGCCCAAGATAATATAAGCGTGGTAAAAATTTGTCACGCTCCGTATGTAGTGACAGTTAAAAATTCGTAATAGGGGTAAATAATTTTTAGATCGATGGTTCTATTAACTTAAATCAAATAGTTAATCTTTATATTTTGTTTTATTACTTATCCAACTAGATTCAATGAAACGGTTAGCTTTAAAAAGTCTAAAATAAAATGGTAGATGAAAATGTGATGTAGTTTGTTTTTATAGCGATCTCAATCACTAATAATAAAGATTTATTGGTTAACTAGCTTTCCGCCCGCAGCTTCGCCCGCGTTTATTTCGGTTATATCGCGTTTCCAAGAGAACCTTTCAAAAATCTAGGATAAAAACTATCCCTTGTTCTTTCTCAAGGTTAATTCTATATCTGTACCAAATTTCATTAAAATCAGTTCAGTGGTTTAGGCATGATAGCGTAACAGACAGACAGAGAGTTACTTTCGCATTCATAATATTAGTAAGGATTTAAAGCAGTAATTATATAAAAATAATTAAATTTAAATTTAAATTTCTGTTGCCTGATAACAAAAACTATAAAATAGGTTTACGTAGTCAATTGAAACTTCAGCAAAACGATCCACAATCATTTTAATTTCATTGAAAAAATAATCATTCTAAAACACAATTAATATTCCGTGAAGTTTTCCTCTGACAGTTTTTCATATTGTCCTAAATCCACTCATTCGTCAACGTCCAAATCAAAGTTCCACCATAAATTGTGAATCCATCAACATTGCTGCGGATTTACGAATAAGAAAACTGGAAACATGCCAATTAATTTCCAGCCAAAAGCCAAGCATACTCTTATTAGAAGTGGTTTGGCAGAGCAACTTCTTTTACATTTGCTGGCATAGTGGCTATATGTCTTATAAATAATAGGAGTGTATATGCAAAATATCGTTTATAGCTACATTTTTTTATTGAGCTTCATTCAAAAAGGATTTTTATGGGAAGAAGCTCTCACTGCACTATCCCTTAGTAAAATCTGAGAATATACAGGGTGACTGGTGAATTACTATCAATATTTGAGGACGTGATATTTGACGATCATATATGACAAAATAAAAATTAATATAACATAAATATTAATAAACTTCTAAGTAAAGTTAACCAAAAGTTGTGTAATTATTTACGCATCGTGTGAACACCCTACAGATTAGGTATACACACCCACACACACACTCTCGCGCGCGCGGCGTGGTGTTGTATCAGCACGCCGCCGCACGCGTCCACACTTGGAACGTGTCAACACTTTATTTATTTATACGGAAATTTTGTCAAAAATTAAGTGCCTATTTTTTTTACATAATTCGAATGAGAATCATGGACCGAGTATTCTCCTAAAATATTGATAGTAATTCACCAGTCACCCTGTATAAGATTAAACCAAAATTAATTCGGTTGTTTTTGCCTAAGAAACAAGTTACGTACGCGAAACATGTTAAAAATTATATGAACATCGCCGGGGCGATATCGTTGTATGTTAAAATATATAACGAGTGACGCCGCTGACTCCGCGGAACGAACACCAAGCGTGTGAACCAGAAGATTCCTGATACACACAAGCTATGGAATGGTATTGCTATCATAACATCGGGTCAATCATGTAGTCTTAGGTGTAGGTTATAAGTTTTAATATGTAGTTCTTATTATAATATACATATAAGTAAGTTTCGTATTTTTCGTGGAACCATTGATTGCCACCCTGCATAATTAACAAATAAATTTGCGTTTGGAATTTACAATAATAAGTGGTTTCATTACTGATATCACATAACTTTCATTGTTATTGCACTAAAAGATAAGGTGACTTTATTTACTCTTCATCGCCTTAAACAATGTATAATGCTTAATTGTTATGATTACTCATAGTTTTCTAAAAAATTCCGGACCAATGAGTATGGACTATTACAGTAATTTTATTTTCAAAATCAGGAATGAGTCCATCATTAAGAAAAACCACAATTAAATATTACAAGTGCCTTTATTTCTCAATAAAAAAGTTGAAGTTATAAATTAAACTTTGTAAATATGAGTACCTATAAAATTCAAAATATCAAAAACAACAGTTCAAAAAATGTTTTACGTATCGGTTCCATATCAAATATATTTTTTTATATTTCTAGAATATAATTATACGGGGTTTGTATCCTATTCATTTCACAAATAGCTTATTTTTTAGGTTTGACTACAATAAAAATTATAATTTTGTACGCTGAGCTGCAATAATTGAAATTGGGATAAAACGTGAATGTTTAAAAAGGACATTGTTTACTTGGTTAAAGAATTGTGGACAGCCAATAAAGATATACATATATAATCCATACAAACCCATGACATAAATTTGCTAAGATAGATTAAATGAATTCAAAGAAAAGTAATCAGATTTTAATCTATTTTGAAAAGGAATTATAAAGACGAAGAAATCTTCTAAGCACTGATTTCAAATGCCGCTTACATTATTATAGTAAGAATTTCCGACAAAACTTATATATACGTATCAAAATTGTGTATAAAAGTATTAATGATACCTGATATAATTTCGATTAGAAATAACCTTGAATTTACATTAAAATTGATACTTTTTTGCTGGAATGGATTGCTGTTCCTTAGTCTCGCTAAAACTCGAGAACAGCTGAACGGATTTATCTTATCTTAGTCTTGAAATGTTCGTGGAGGTTCAGGGAAGGTATAAAAGCTGAAAAAATTTGATTCATTACTGGGAAAACCATAAAAACAGCCCTTTTCGATTTCCCATACAAATGTTTTTTTGACATTAGATTTGACAACTAACTAATATGTCAATCATTCTGTTTGATTGAAACAGGAAAAACCTGATTATTTATGGCCTCTAAAACGGAATAGAGTTCGCCTGGTCAGCTATACCTACATATATTACTCTTGACCAAACTAACGCGGACGAAGTCGCGGGCAAAAACTAGTATTCATATAAAAATCTTGCCCTTGATGCAACAAAAGATAACAATTTGACGTTTCACCTTTGACGAGTAGTGATTTAAGAGTATAAGAACATTTAAATGTCCAAAGCCAAAGAAAAGTTAACTTGAATCATAGAAAAGAGACCTCCGTTCACAACAAAAGATCGAAATCCATCATGAACTTACCATTGGATCAAAGTTCTTTAATAAAAGTATGAATGAAATAGCAATATGTTAAGAATTTCTATTTAATATAAAGGAAATAAGAGAATTAATCAAATGGCAAGATGACAAGGAACTATCATACGACACTATTTCTTTATTAATACCTATTATTAATTATTTATACTATTTCTTACCTTTTAACATAAAAGCATATAATAGAAAATAACTTTGTAGTTTAGTTAGCTGCATTAAGAGTTGAGCTGCAAGTTGAGAGTTTGAATACAAAGCTATTGATTTTTGGTATCAATGGAAATTCGAAAGCTATATTTATTTGATATGAGCTTGTATAATATATATAATAAATTTCACCGCTATATACTGTAACATATTTCCATAGTAAAGCCTATTTTTGTTTTTTCATTTGTTCCATTTTAATTACTTAACCGAAAAAAATATAATGTATATATGTCATCTTCTTCTACCTGGCAATTTCCCAGCTTTACCAGGGTCTGCCTTACATGTTGTGAATAGTTTTGGCTAATTGTTCTTACGATCCGCCTGCCTGACATCAACTCTCTTTGGGAATGCATTAATCAGTGATGTCTAAATACTCTTAGAAAGTACATATGACTCGGAAAAATCACATTGGTAGCTGTATTAAATATACGATAATAATATTTTCTTGCCTTTAGTCTACTAATAGCATTGAACTCAACATTCGGCAACATGAATTTTCTATTTATAGTTATAATATTTGACAATTTATATATTTTTTCATTTTTATATTGTTTCGTCATCTCTACATCTCGTCTTAATGATCACGGTTGCTGAAAAGTGACCAAAACGTCGAGAGTATGTAGTTGTTACTATATTAAAACAAGCGTAGTTTAATTCCAGAAATATTAGTTTCATTTGTATTATTTATTGAAAGAAAATTGTAACCAAAAATAAGCTGAATTGTACGTCAAAAATATACAGGGTGACTGGTGAATTACTATCAATATTTAAGAAGAATACTCGGTACATGATTCTCATTCGAATTATGTAAAAAAAAAATAGGTACTTGATTTTTGACCAAATTTCCGTATAAATAAATAAAGTGTGGACACGTTCCAAGTGTTCCAAGTGTGGACGCGTGCGGCGGCGTGCTGATACAACACCACGCCGCCGCACGCATGTGTGTGCGTGTGTGCATATACCTAATCTGCGGGTTGTTCACACGATGCGTAATTAATTACATAACTTTTGATTAACTTTACTTAGAAGTTTATTAATATTTATGTTATATTAATTTTTATTTTGTCATATATGATCGTCAAATATCACGTCCTCAAGTATCGATAGTAATTCACCAGTCACCCTGTATAGTAACCAATAAATTACAACTTAAAATACTTCTCGCCTTTTCAGATCATCAACAAAAAGGGATGCGAGGCGGGATTCAAAACGAGATCAATCCAGTCCTTTAAGAGAGAGTTCCAAACGGGAATCTAGGTTTAGCGAGCCAAGCCGACAAGTGGTAATAATAACTTGATTGACCTAATTACATCTAGAAACGTAGAAATAAAAGACTCCTTTGAATTACGGTGAAAAAGGTTTCATTTGTTCCGTAAATAACTTATTGGATAACTAATGAACGTCAGGAAACATTAGTAGTTGAAGCTATTTTTGCTTTTCGTAATCTATTGTCAGTGGTTGCAAAAAAAACTGTTTTTTTTTTTTTGTAAATTACACAGTAAAAATGTACATATATTTTTTTTCTTATTATTCTTATATTTGTATTACAATTAGGCTTATAAAAGTTCATTTAAGATTACAATTCTCTTCTGAAAATCTCTTACTTAGCTTGCGATTAATTAAAATTTATGTTTTCCACTGCCAAAAAGTTCTTTAGTTAATTTCATTTTTGTATTACCTCATCCGGCTTTCGTTTTCCATACAATCATTTTAATATACGTTCTACATAAAATAATTACCAACTCCAAACGGAATCTTTGAATAATACAGATTTTAATTCATTCTTAACTAACGCATTTATGTATAGTACATTCCTAAATGAATTGCAAATCCAAGTCAGCACTGACATTTTATAAAAAGATGGTTGTCCTAGAAACCTAAAAAAAATAAAGTAGGCTTTTAAATCTACTATATTAAAAACAATTTACTTTTAACTTATATTTTTCCTTTCGAATAATATGCAATGATTAAAAAAGATTACTTTTTTTAATGCACCACAAATTTTCAATTTAGAACTAATAATCTTATAAATAAAATGTAAGAATTATTAATTAAAAAAAATATACAAGATCTTTGATAGATAGACTTTTTAAGTCATACTTAAACCATAAAATACGAAAAAAGTCATCAAAGTAAATTTAAAAGAGTTATTATAACAAAAAATGTCGATAACAGAACAACTTAAACATCCCAAAATTAACTCTTAAGGGACGGAAATTAATTTTTTTATAACTTTCCTTATGAATTTTTGGAAATTATAATTTTATTATGATATTTTCTTCCTCGTAAAAGTTGAAGCCGATAATGGAAATTCAGATAAAAAAGATTACTACATTCTGGCTGACTGTAATCGGCTGAAATCTATTTAACATAATGGCTACATTTTATTCTGAAACTGGAACAGTTGTGGGATGTGTCTTGAAATTAGATTGTACCTTTTATCACAATCAACTTCTGAACGTTCTTTAGATAAATAACGTTTTGTTAAAATTTAAACGAATTGAAATAAATAATTTAACTTATTTTATCAACGATTTTAGCTGGTTTCGTAAATTCTGAAGAAATTTCATTTCCCTTAAATTGCATTCGTCTTAAAACAACCAAAAAAATCTTATAGTCCAAAAGAATTGAAATAAAAAGTAAAGGTTCACAAAATATCTACAATATATTTTTTGTTATATGTATGATGACAATGAACCTAACGTGTGTTCCAAGTACTTTTTCTATGTTTTAGTAATAGTCTAGAGAATATTGTAATTTTTGAAGGAAAAGGAATAAAGTAAGGACTTAATAAACGCAATTTTAGCTACAAATTATGATTGATCTGCTTATTGCGTGCCTGTACGTTTGAGTTTTCTAAATACAAGCAACTTTATATTATCAGTTATTACTTGGTTATAATATAACAAAAATTACGCTCCCTGACAGTATATAGCTTCATTTGATGAAGAGGGGGAGCAGTTCCGACGAGTGGGTCCCGAGGGTCTTGTGAACTTGGAGAAGGTGTATCGAACCCAGGCAGTCATGGATCATATAGCCAGCTTCCATCAACACCGATATAGCCTAGCCAGGACCACAGCGCCGCTATTTGGAGATTATTTAAGGTGGTAGAGTAAAAAATAATTATATTTATGTAAATAAATATAATTATCTTTTAAATTATATATAATAAGTATTTTCCAAACACATTTTTTTCAAGTTTGATAAGTTGTAACGAATAGTAAAATAAAACAAGGCATCACAAGTTTTCTCCGACGTATTTTGCTAAGAATGTACTGAATTCTTCAACTGACGAAATTATCAAACTTACTTAGCCCTCATACAAATGTAATACTGCTATTTAATTATCACAAACGATGTAATAATCATACATAAACAGACACAACAAAAAACTTTATTTAACTGGAAATTTAATTAACCAATGCAATATACCACGCATTTAACCAATCAAATTTATCACAATATACAGAGTGGGCCATGAATTAGTTAACATTTGAAATAATCATTTAAAAAAAACTATTTGACATATTTTAAACATTGTTTTATTAAAAGAAAGCTATTTAGTTGGCTCCATCTTGTTGAAACCATGTGTTACGATTGTAGCCAGAAAATTCCAGTAGCATCGGTGCCAAAAACTGCCACTTGTCACAGTCCTTGCCGGTGGTTAAAGAAATGTTTCCGAAAAGGCTAATTTCCTGACAAGGTGACATTCCATGGCCACCCAGAAGTCCAGATCTATCCCCAGCTGACTTCTTTTTATGGGGTTATTTAAAGAGTCGTGTCTACATCGATAAATCAAATACACTACGTCAACTAAAAGAAAAAATCAGCGAAGAGATATCGCCGATCTCATGGTCTCTGTGCGGACGAGTATTCGAAAATTTCGTTACTCGCTTAGAAGAGTGTAAAAATCTAAATGGTGGTCATTTAGATGATATGATTTTTAAAAAATAATTTAGAAATAATTAGCTTTCTTTTAATAAAACAATTTTTAAAATATGTCAAATAGTTTTTTTTAAATGATTATTTCAAATGTTAACTAATTCATGGCCCACCCTGTACATACACAACTTTAGTTAATTTATTGGTGACATTAATTCCAATAACTGATGAAGCCGATATCTTTTTAGAACAGCTATAGCATCTTGCGAGGAACCGGTGTTCGTCCAACCAGCTCAAAAGACCACGGGCACTGACTTCGAGAACGAGGCTTTATACGAGCTGGAGGGCGGGGGATATACTCCAGTACAACCCTTACCTCATGATCATGGAGTCACCATGTTCCCTTTAGCGCCACAGAATGGAGAAAGAATGGATAGGCACGTGTTACAGGTACTTCTATATAGCATCTTGCTTGTTGGCTTGATTTATAAATAGTGCAAAGTTTAATGCCACTAGCCTATAAACAGATGAAGTCAAAAGTTATGTATGTATTCCTATTGTAATAATACAAAAACTAGTAATCATATCAATGATTTTCTCGAGGAAGATATGCAATAGATGTGATCTTAAAATCGCTTTGACCTTTTTTGTCTTAAAATCCTATGAACCGAAATTTAAGAATTAAAAGAAACCAGGAGCTTTAACGTCTTTTAGTATTCATGTACACAAAATACAGAGCACATTTTCTACACTCACGTATATTAGACATCCATCGACTAATAAATTTTTCTTATCAAATTCTCTATTAAGTAATAGGAATAAAATATCCCAAAGTTCGTATTTACTATTTAGCAAAGTAACAACTAATTAGCAAAGTAAAAACTAATTATCTTCCATTACTTGGTCTATCCTAAAATTAGAAAAATTGTAACTAGGTTATTTGACTCTAAAATTCAATTCCTAAGATGAAACACACTAAAAAGCAATCATAAGTTGAACTGGTAGGAAAGCTCTATAAAATCTTCAAACAAAATAACCACCCCTCTATTTCCGATTTCTGAAAAGTAATAAAAGGCTTGATTTTGTCTTTAATATAAAATTCTTTATATTAAAGATAATGCAGCATGGTACAGCATGTGTGGTGGGAGAGGCTGAGTGGAGTGGAGCCCTGGCGCATCTTCGACTAGAGCGATCATGTGCTCTCCTGACTTGGAGCCGAACAGCGCACAGACCTCACTCTTTTCATGGTAACTATGTTTTATCTTTATGACATATACATACTTAAAAAAGACAAATACATCTACCCAGTAAGTACTTTTGAAAATTTAAAAGTCAATCGATCGTGTCTCTTCTATTCTACACGACACTGGTAGAAAATACTGTGCGCGGATGAAGGCCATATTGTGAACAAATAACCAAGTTCTTTTGAAACTTAGACTAAGCTTATCTATTCTCTGTGAATAGATAAAGTGACAGACCAACAAAAATAGATAAAAATTGGCATCTTTTTGGGTTTAAATTACTTACATTTTCAGCAATAAAAAGTACAATAGAATTTTGGTGTTTTAACATAAAATTGGAGCTATGTAATAAGGAAATAACAACCAAAATTAAACAGAAAATAATTTGGATATAATTTAACAGGTGATGCCGTGTCAGAAAATGTTCAACAACCAGAAATTAGTCTCTCATACAATCCCGAGGAAGTTATACCTCTGAAATATTTGGGTAACTTGGCTCATGAAAACGAAGCTGGCGTGGTAGGAGATGAAGGGTGAGATGATTTAATTAACTATTTTATACTTACTTTATATTATATAGTATTGTTATACGGCTATTTCTTTTATTTCTAGTTCTATTTATGTATAGGTCAGGTTAAATGTAAAGATTTTGTGTCTGTATTAGGACAAAATATTGGCAATAAAATAGTTAACATAGAGAGACAATATAGTTTTTCATAAGAAAAAAATGGGAAAGGCAGATAAAAAGGAAGTGATAGGAAACTTTGGGAAAAGGGAAAGGGCAACCGGCTTATAAGCAATAGTAATTTTTATTGATAATAATTTATTGACTATCCAAGCTTGGTAGTTTTGATATTTATAAAAATGGTTTACACCCAGCTTCGTGGATCTACAGTGCGTGAAGGATCTCCGCCTCTGTGGTAAACTGCTCGAGCCACGCGACGTTTCTGAACTGTGCGCAAACGCGCGACGCCACGGTCTGGAGACTGGCCAGAGACCGCATATTATAAGTCTAGTCTATGGCAAGACTTTAAGCGACAACCGAACCGTGCATTTTGTTCTGCCGCCTTATTCATTTAGGTAAGACTTAACACTAACCCTCCATAATATATATTGATAGAAATAATTTAGGCAGTACTTCCACTTATATGTTTAATGCTCCATAACTCATAACAGAATCCACAGCCTAACAATTGCATCTTATTTATAATATTCTAAGGTAACATTTAGGTGAAGGTAAGTTATAATATCCTACAGAGGGCGCTAGTTCCCCTCATAGGAGTTTCCATTAAATAATAAAACACTTAACATTATGTAAAACATGCAAAGGATCTAATTATAAATTATAAAACCAATAAAGTATTTGGACATTTAAATGACTGCACAAAATTAATATTATTAATATTAATTTACATTATTATAACTAATATACAGGTGGCGCTAATTGACTGTTATAAGAATTCTCAATAAATATTATGCTGATATCGCCGATATATATGTATATACTCATATTCTGAAATATTATTAGCGGAATTATAAAATGAATATAATTATAACTAGAGATTTAGTTGACCAATATAGTTAGCTATCACAAATATAAATATAAATCAGGATTAATATGCAAAATACATACTAAACTTATTTAACAAATCAAGTAAATAAACTGGGATGATAATCAAATTTGACATCACATTTCAATAAATCATTAATACTCGTAGCAAATAGCTTGTATATATCTATATCTTTGTTTATACAACGGGTAAGCCAAAGCATATTGTTTCTAAATTATGACGTCATTATTGTTGACGTCATCGTTATTGTTATCTATAATAGAATTAACTGAAATATCAAATTAAAGATATATACTATTTATATTATTGTTTGTTAGCACCTAAATAGCTTGCCTTGCAATAATCACTGTTATTCGTACCAAGATTAAGACAGATTCAATTTTCATAACTACCTACATTCTTAAATAATGTTTGACGTTTTATAAGACATTGTTGAAATCTATTACGAGACGCTTATAACTAATTTTATATTCACATAAGTACATAGGTATTTTGATAATTATTAATATTCTTATATTCCATTTATGTCTTTGATCTTATACACATTACAAATAAAGCCCAATCTAAATTGAATACTTTCGGCTGTTTATGGTAAAACTCATTAATAGTACATCTTATTATTGTTATTTTTTTTCCAGGGTCTGGGCCGTAGGACTCCACGCAGTCGTCAAAGCTCTGATCAGTCAGACGAAACTAGCTGATAGAAGTCTCGCGTGGTTAAAAAACAAATACACAGCTCTTTATTATGAGGATGGTTGCTGTTGTGAACCACTTGTCTCTGATGCTATACGGGTAACGACATATTTAATATGATGAGAAATAATACTAATATATTTGGACAAATTATTTAGTTGGTATTTGAAACTAGTTGGACTTTTTCCTGTCCTAATTACTTCTTTCATAGTCTCCAGTAAGCTTGGTCTAAGCACGATCACTGTACATTAGGAGTATTACCATTTTTTAAATCAAAAATTTTCTCATTTAATAATATTGGTTATTTATTAACAAAAACGAATTTTGTTTCGTATATTGTTTGATAACAAAACTTAAACTATTCATAATATTAAAAAAAGCGTATTGATAGATAAATTATTAGAAAGCAACAGAGCTCACAGAAGTTATGATAATAAATAGTTTTACAATACTTTTATTCAATTACATATAATCAAATTACCAGATGCATTTCCGACCAAAACTTATCGATTTCTGGTGTGGTTATATCTTATATCTGTTACTACTGAGTTTTGTCGTAATTTTTATATACCAAAAATAAATATAATTTAGTATATCTATAAATCTATATCAGGTATTCGGCGGTCGAGAGTCAGTTGGTGGCAGTTCCTCTCAATCAACACCTGTCAGATACGCTGAATCCCACACAGACTCCAGCAGAAGTAGTGGCATCAAGTTCAAGAAGAATAAATCTACGTCAGAACTTAAAAGTTCCCCAAAAAGCAGCGGATCACATCCGTCAGGAACGAGGAGTGAAGATGAAGTTCAGCCTTCACCAAGACACAGGTCTGCTAATGTATATATACTATACTTGAAGTTACCTTGAAGTTCACGACTTTAAAACTGCTTTAATTAACTTAAGTTTACCTTCAAATTTACGATTACAAAAATGTTCGTAAGACTCACCAATTCTGAACTGCCTATTTTTTGAAGCGTTTTGGCCTAATAGTATTCATTAAACATGCACTATTACTGGAATATGGTAAAACTTCTTATTCTTTAAAATTTCTGGCCATCTGTGGTTTATATACAATGTTCTTTAAATATGTGTTATATATAGATTTTTGATTTTGAGAGAAATTAATTCATTGAAATATTGACTGTGAAACAATGTTATAAACTTTAGTAAAATATTTGCTTACCAAAGAAATTTTTTCTAGTTCGTACTCAGCTGCTTCAAGCGCACGACACAGCAGTCTCACAGCTAGTTTTATATCAAACTCACCCAATAGAAGCAGGTAAGATAGCTTTCTCATATATGTACATATAATCGGAAATTTTGATCTTATATAAAATAAAGTTATGTTAGTTACACTATCTCTAGGGGGAAATAGAGTTTACCCAGTCAGCTACACATATATTACTAATTAAGTAAATTAAAGTAAAGTAACCGAAACGTTGGGAGTATGTAGTTTTTGTCAAGAGACGAAACCTTAAGAGGTTTTAAGCATTCAATGTATTCACGGTGCGTGTGTCGGGTCCATCGTTGTAGTGAGAGGAGCTTCAACAGTGACTGGGACTTGCGACCCAGGTGTAGGTTTGAGGTGCCCCAATCTAACGCGTTATACGCTCACCTCCACTGTCCAAGCTCCTCTCTATACCTAACCAAATTTGAAAAGAACTAATAGAAATAAAGTCCGAAATCATCAGAAAAATATTAGTTTCATTTAAATGACTCAAAAATCTCAGATCTCATTATGAATTTCCTTTAGTTTAAGAAGACTGGAGACCAGTGAAAGGTTTTGGGAGAATCTCAAGCATCTACGGACTGGCTCTGTTGGATATGACACACAACTAGACTTCATGGATTTTGTTTCTTTATTTAGAAGTTTTAGGTGAGTTGAATATATTCTTCTTGAAAGGCCAGAACTTTGAAACAGAAAAACTAGAACTTCAATAGAGGATATTCATTTTTTTTTTCTTAAATTAGTTTACTACTTTATAACATAGAAAAAATATAAATAGGCTTAAAATGGAATTTAAAACATTAAATAAATGTGAGTGCTTTGCTTGACGTCACACGACACAACATGTCTTCACTGTGAACTTTTCAGTTATTTCGTACATATTTACAGTTTTAATAACTTTAAAACCATGGAAAGAGCCAAAAAAATATCCTTTAAGTATTATATAGTACCGGAGTGCACTAATATTATTCGAAAAACACACGACAGAGTGTTTCTTCGTATTTTTCAATATTTTAGGCCATTTAAAATTATATGCATATCCCCTATTGTTCTGTATAAGATGACGCTTATTATGTTTTGCTCCAAATCCTCGTCTAATCTGCCAGTCTAGTGATGAGCAGTACCAGAGTTCATACATATTTTTCGAAAAACACCCGACAGAGTTTTTTTTTTTCAATATATTAGGCCATTTAAAATTTTATGCATATTCCCCTAGTTTAGTATAAGATGACGCTTATTCTGTTTTCTCCAAATCCTCGTTTAATCTGCCAGCCTAGTGATGAGATCCGAGCTCCGGGAGGTGTTCTCACAGCTGGCTGTACCACGATCTCGTGGCGCACTCCTGGCGGAGAAGAGCAGAAGTTCTCCAGAGCTGTTCAGCAGAGGAGGAGTGAGGAGTGGTGAGTAGGAAGATATCTATTGACGTTTTGATCATAGAAGCTTCTTATATACGTACTGTTATAACTATGCTTTGGTTTCCTAGCTACTCACTCAACATATTTCCAGTCAACGCTTCCTATTGCTTCAGTGTCTAGATTTCCCCCCAAATCAGACCCGTTCCAACTTCCAAATCCGACGGTTTTTTTATTGAAATAAATATATTTTTTTAAGGCTCGATCCTGAAACATTATAACAGTACAATCTCACTAAATATGTTTAATTTTTATTACTTAATAAGTGCCTTATTTGGTTTAAGATGTAGTAGCTACCTAAAATAATGATTAATATTTCACCTTCAGTTGCTCGCAAGAGAAACAACTTATTGGTAGATTTGTTCTGGGAATAGTGCTATTAACTTAAAAACTAGCCAAATGTGATTTAGAATCTAGTTTGATAATAAACATAGTATTGTTGCAGGTTTATTGACCAGGAACGGATCTTTGGACCTCGAGCCACCGAGTGATAAAGTCGGGAGAAAGAAAGCCTTCGATATTCTAGCAGCTGCAGCATTACCAGGTGAGATTTTATTGTTATCGTTTATAACTATCCTTGTTTAAAAATTATACATTACGTTAACATTAAAAGGTTTTACTGTTGATCCTAACTTAGACGACGTCTTATGTTTTCATTTATAACTTGCGAGAATATATTATTGTACTTCATTGACTGTACTTCTATATTACAATGTTGTTAAAAATTTACGCCACTGGGTAAACAAAACCTGTTTTACTTTGACCATAAAACTCTCCTATCGGCAATGACCGATTTGTCTTTTTTAAAACAAACATAAGATATTTATAAAAAGCAAGAAAAATTCGCCCAAATTAATGAAGTTTCATATTTAATCTGAATTAATTTCTCAGGGGCCAGTCCAGATGTGAGTGACAGAGTGTTGACGTTACCCACTTTAGGAAAATTCTGTGAAACAAGACAAAACGAGCCGAAGACTGAACAAAAATTAAAAGATATTATTTATGTGAGTATCGAAATAATTAGGTTAAAGTAGAAAGACTTAGAAAGGAGGCAAAGAGAAAGAAAAATGAAGTTTTAAAAAATTAGCAGTTAACGGTGAATAATCTTATAAATTAGAAGATACTTAAGATATTCACAGCTATTACGAGTAGATACATCTTTTCTTTAACTAAAAAAGTTTATATCATATAATTATTTGGATGCTTATACATATATCAACTTAAATAAATATTATTTATATATTTTATCACATAAATTATACAAATTTAAAAGAACTGCTAATTAATTCCTTACAGTTAACATTTTCATTACTGGTGTAATGAACACAAAAAAATTCAGTACTTTAATAGAACCTACAGTTTTTTTAGTACGTAAATAATCTCTTGATAATGTACCAAAGTTTTAGGACAATTTTATTTATCAGAGCTGTCCAAATTATCCCCGGTATTTTTATAAATATTTTGCGGCCCACCCATATATTTAGTTATTTTTATTGGCACTGGATCCCGTCAAGTTTGGACACCCCAATTATATATAATATAAAATTTCTTATTTATAATATAACTACAATTTAAGTATAATTTTCAGAGACATGAACCAGACCCTACCTTGCGATCAGAAAACTGCTTGTCATTCGAAGGATTTGTGAGGTTCTTGACGGATAAAGACAATTACGCTTTCGTTCCGGAACAAAGGAGGGCCAATAATTTGGTTAGGTAAGTAACGAATTAGATATACATATATGTATATGTATATTACCCGTCGCATAAGGTTAATTTTGTTTTACGGAAGGTATAATCTTTATACGATTACATAAATTCCGTATCCTTTACTGTCAGGATGTATGTTTATATTTTCTGTATATTTAAATATACACTACAATTATGCATCCATAAATAATGCAAATAAAAATTATGGATACTATTAGGTATTTTTGATATATCGCTGAAAAAGCTTTCTAATTAATCATCCAGTATTTTAATTGTTGTGGTTGAAAATACTTTAAAAAAATAAGTGTCTGTTACTTCAAAAAGTTTTAACCCAAAATAAAAAAGTTTTTTCTCGAGAGATCATTCTAGAATTTAATCTTAGACTTAAGTTTTAATATATAAAACATCGACGGAAAACCTACCTCATACTTGCTAATAGCAAAAGAATTTTAAAGTAATATACACAAAATAGCTTTTGGTATACAGAAAACGACTTAATTTTCATGAAACAGACCCATTAATTAGTAAAAATATATATAATTCTTCTTCCTTACAATAATCCAGGCTTTAGCCAGGGTCTGCCTTCCGAAAATACATTTAATTATAGTTCTATTATGTTTTTGTAGCAAAGAAACAGAAGAAGAGACAGAATCTAAGGATATGACGGGTCCACTCAGCGAGTACTACATTGCAAGCAGTCACAATACATACCTCACTGGACATCAGCTGAAAGGAGAATCGTCGGTGGAATTATACAGTCAGGTAAATATATTTTGGCAAAATCTTTCTAGTAGCCGTTTCCAGGAAAATTACAGGATATTAAATAGGAATTACATATTAAAACTTATATCCTACACCTAAGACTACATGATTGACCCGATGTTAGGATAGCAATACCATTCCATAGCTTGTGTATCAGGAATCTTCTGGTTCACACGGCTTGGTGTTCGTTCCGGGGAGTCAGCGGCGTCACTCGTTATATATTTTATACATACAATAATGTTACTCCGGTGAAGTTCCTTTATTGCTTAAAATGTTGCGGGTACGTAAAAGACTCGCAATTCAATTCGACATAATATCTTGATTGTAAATATAAACAAAGTTGACCTGATACCTTATTACAAGTTTCTATCATCACTAAATATTCAACGTTTCTATGTTTTTATTGGCAAATATACAATGATACTGTCACGCGAGGATAGTGATAATTTTAAACGCTATTTATTAAGTTAACATAGCAAAACTTGGCCTAAGAATATTGAGTACTTTAATAGAAATCAAATACAGAAATTTATATTAGATATTTATTATCAATCCAACAATTTTCTTAACTAACTAGTAACTTTTTTTTTTTTTGTTATCCTTGGGAAAATGCATTTACGCATCCCCGCCGTTTTTAGAAAACAGCGGGGTATGTGGGACTCGTTGCCACTACCCACTAAAAACCCAAGGGTGTTCCACGACGGCCCTTGTGTCGGGGCGGGGGATCGCTTTCGCACTCCCACCAGCTTCCCCGACAGGCTGGCCCGCATTCTGGGGGCTCTTCTTCTTTTGGGGGGCACTGGTACCGCCCCCCCCCCTCATGTGGTGCTCTTTTCCACGCACGTGACCTCGGGAGTTGCATGGGGAACACAACCATGCAACTCCCTTTACCGTTTAGCGCGGGTTGGAGTCCGCGCCACGGGCCATTTTCATGGCGGCCTCAAATCGTCCCGGGCGTCTCTGCGGCGGCGCCCAGCACGGTGTCTGCGAGAGGGGAGGGATGATGAGGCTTCCCTCACCCTACCGGCCTCCTCCTTCGCGGACATTACCGCCTCGCAGAAGACGACCGCGGCGTCCCAGGCCGACTCACGCCGCACCATGCACCACACCAACTAGGTCACGGCGCTGCTCCGCCCATGCTGGGCACACCTCCAAGGTGTGCTGCGCAACTAACTAGTAACTTAGGTTACTTATTAATCGACTCCAAAAAGAAGGAATTTCTCAATACGTGTCTATTGAGCTATAATTCCTACAATTATATTTTTTTACATCATATGGGCCATTTTTACTAAGTAAGAATGTGTAGAAACTTCTAGAAATAGAAATAAAACTATATATATGGGGAATTCTCCCTGAAAAGAGATAAAATAGGCAAAACCACATGCACAAACTAGTCATAAATAAAACATCAATGATATACACAAACATTTAATTAATGCGTGTTCCGTCTGTACCAAAACCTTGCTCTGTAATCATCACTACACGTGAGGAACGCCGGGGCCGTACCAGAATGAACTATGTACCTGAAAAATAAATATATATCATCATCATCAGCCTATCAGAACCCACTGCTGTAAGGCCTCTTCTCACATGGAGAAGGTTAGAGCATTAATCATCACGCTCGCTCAATACGGGTTGGTGATTTCAAACTTATATATAAATTATAAGTCCATGTTTCCTCACGATGTTTTCCTTCATCAGTCAGTGATGTCTAAATACTCTTATAAAGTACATATGACTCAGTAAAATCACATTGGTACTTGCCAGGATCGAACCCACGCCCTCATGCATGAGAGGCGGGAATTTAACCACAAGACCATATCCATACTAATATTATAAATGCGAAAGTAACTCTGTCTGTCTGTCTGTTACGCTTTCACGACTAAACCATTGAACTGATTTTAATAAAATTTAGTACAGAGATAAAGTTGACCCTGAATAAGAACATAGGATAGTTTTTATCCCGGACTTTTGAAATGTTCTCTTGGGAACGCGATATAACTGAACTCGACGCGGGAGAAGCTGGGGGCGGAAAGCTAGTTATATATATATATATATATTATATATATATATATATATATATATATATATATATATGAGAGTATAGTCCTATATATAGTTATCATACCTAACAGCTCCGTTATGTCCTAAAGACATCAGCTGGCACCTGCTAGCTGACCTGGAATGCCAAGTGCATAGTGAGGTAGTCGCTTCATCTGGAAACATCACGTAGTCTTCCGTATGATTGAATATAGCTTGGGCGTGATGCTCTTGTTTACCTGAAAATATACATAAAGTCGTGTTAGTTACACTATTTATAACTCAAGAACGACTGTAGAGATATGGTTGATTTGGTGGAGAGATAGATTAGAACATAGAAACGACATAGGATCAGTGGCGGCCGGTGGGTAATCGAACCGGTGGTGCACTTTACTAAAATATTAAAATTATAAAATGCAACAAAACATAACGAGATGTCAGTCATGGCTCAATTCGTCATACATCGGGTGCTCTCGGTAATCTTCGATCGCTCGAGAACCGACTCACTACTCGGTACATTTCTATGAATTATCTTTTGTTTCACGCGTCAGACGTATTTATTCCTATCTCATACAAAATGTATTAGCAGTCCTCGTGCACTCCCCGAAGCGCACGATGTGAGTTTAGTAAAGCGCTCAAACTTTTTGACGATAATTAGGATTTTTAATTTTTTATACGTTTGTGTAATTTTTAAACCTTTGGAATTGGTGGTTTAGCGCACGAGTGCACTTAAGGTACAGCCGCCACTGCATAGGATACTTTTCATACGATTGAAGAAGAAAAAAATAAGTTGTTAAATTCGAAAATCTTCTTATTTACTGTCTTTAAGGAATAGCATTCGCTCGGTCAGCTATATCTTTTTAATTTTGTAAATAACGCAGACGAAGTCGCGGTTTAAAGTTATATATATATTTTCTTACCTGTAGTTCCGGCCCCCGTATATTGTATCAAGCAACGGCTGCTCGCTAACTCCCACAACTTTATAGACGAGTCCAAACCAGATGTTAGAAGATACTGAAAGATTAAAACACACAAACTAAATATAACTCTAATATTTGTACATAATATCATCAATAAACTAAATTTTACGGTTTACCACTACAGTAAACATATGAAACCGCGAAAACTTAATTTAAGATATTCAAAAACTAACAAGAACCATAAAAAAAAACAAGTTTTACGGATATCCGTAAAAGTATCTGACGGTTTCCGTAATTTTATCCGTATCCGTATACAATAATACCCCGCTGTACGCGAGGGATACGTTGCGAAAAAAATCGCGTTAACTTAAATTCGCGTATATCGAGGTTTATGATTAAACACAATCAAAATTTAATACACAAATATAAAAATCATTTTAATCAATAACTTTAATTCTATGAACACTATACCCATACATAGGTACTCCTATTTTTTACGAAAAAATACATGTATTGTCTTTTGGGTAGCGTTTTGTTTACGTTCTTGTAAAATAAGTTCATAACACCAAACACTGTTTTTAATGGTTTGACACACGGTCAAGACACGGTCATCATTATTATCTATACTCTACAATATGTCCAAATCTAAATAAATTTTTGAAATTCGTGTTATAGTGAAACCGTGCACAACGGGGTAGCGTTAAGCGGGGTATTACTGTATATGAGTTATATCCGTAAAAGTATCCAATTGTTTCCGTTACCGTAAATTTATCCACAACTGTCACAAACCTTGCTGTTCCTTGTAAAAGCTACTGAACACACTTCAGCTCCGTCGTGAGCGTTGGTGAATGTGTTGAAACATCTGTTGGAAACGGTGTCCCAGAGTTTGACGCTGCCATCGGCACTGCCTGACGCGTAGTACTTACCGTTCGGTGAAAACCTTTAAAATACAACATATATATCTTAGATTTTTTGTTGAAATGAAGAAATTTTAATGAAGCCAAGGTTTTTTCATATTCACAACTACGTAGTCTAATGCTGAAAAGGAACCGAAACATTTATATCATGTAGATATAAAAAAAATAAGCTTCATTTATCTTAACATGCGTTTCAAAATCTTTAGCGCGTAATTCTAATCATTGACGATGGAACTTGTATATGTATTTTTTGGTATAAACCAAATTTATCTATACCTTATGTATGTATATGGTAGGTGTAATTAGCAACATTTTCAATACATATATGTATATAAATACTATTTTTTTGCATTGGAACAAACTTGTCATATTTAGACATGGTTTCGGCAGATACTGTTTACTCCTCAAGGTCCAATGGTGGACAGAAGACTATCCAAAGTCCAAGTTTGTCCAATTTTGTCCATGATTGTCCAACATCCAAGATTACCAACAAAGCTTTTAACTCCAATACCTACCACTTCCAAATAACTAGGCCAACAGGAAAAAAATCCCTTACTTAATCCTCTACCTGGCAATTTCCCAGCTCTAGCCAAGGTCTGCCTAAAAAAATCCCTTACTTGATAGAATGCACTAATTTCTTGTGGTGATGCGAGGGTATCGGGCAGACGAAGCATTGGCTGGTCGTTACATCATACAATCTTATCACCGGATGTGTGGTTGAAGCGATTATGTGATCACCAAGAGGATGAAATGCCACGCACAAAACCTGCTCGGCATCCTGGAAATTGAAATTATTGGAGAAACGACTTAAAAACTATAGCAATAAGAAATTAATTGCAATACAAGAATCTTTGGAACTTAGGATAGATATTTTTGATGAGTGATCCCAAAAAAATTCACGAATTTTAGTCCAAAATCAATAAATTACTATAATTAACCATAATAGTAGAAGAATTCTTTAATTCTTTATTCCCAAGTATTATGTCAGGCAGGCGGCCGGTCGTAAAAACGATTAGCCAAAACTATTTACATGTAAGGCAGACCCTGGCAATAGCTGGGAAATTGCTAGGTAGAAGTAGAAGAATTCTTTATCTTACCGTTATGGACTTATAGGCTTTTTTGGCTGAGGCTTTAGTAATATCGAACAGTTTGATACAACAATCTCGGGACGCTGAAACCAGGATTTGTTCCCGGGGATGAAAATCAAGGGCTGTAATCTCGTCAGTATGATCGTATCTATAAAAAAGCATAAAAACATATTTTTCATACATCTAAAAATAAAATCAGGATAATTTTCTTTTATTCATAACTAGCTTTCCGCCCGCAGCTTCGCCCGCGTGGAGTTCGGTTATATCGCGTTTCCAAGAGAACCTTTCAAAAGTCTGGGATAAAAACTATCCTATGTTCTTTCTCAAGGTCAACTATATCTCTTTACCAAATTTCATTAAAATCAGTTCAGTGATTTAGGTGTGAAAGCGTTACAGGCAGACAGAGTTACTTTCGCATTTATAATAGGGATAAAGTAATAAAAAAATGAAACAAAAGAAAAACTCGGTCAAGCGCGTTGAATTGGAGAATTATTGATTCCATATCAATAAACACTGTAAAAAATCATGTTCATTATACAGGGTGACTGGTGAACTACTATCGGTACTTGAGGACGTGATATTTGACGATCATATATGACAAAATAAAAATTAATATAACATAAATATTAATAAACTTCTAAGTAAAGTTAACTAAAAGTTATGTAATTAATTACGCATCGTGTAAACACCCTACAGATTAGGTATACACACACACACACATACGCGTTTGGCGGCGTGGTGTTGTATCAGCACGCCGCCGCACGCGTCCACACTTGGAACACTTGGAACGTGTCAACACTTTATTTATTTATATGGAAATTTGGTAAAAAATTAAGTACCTATTTTTTTTACATAATTCGAATGAGAATCATGTACCGAGTATTCTCCTTAAATATTGATAGTAATTCACCAGCCACCCTGTATATAGAGATGTATGATAATTTCAAGTCTTACTAAAACAATTCTTGAGATAGATGGTGACAGACAAACAGACAAAGAGACTTAATAATATTTTCCAGGGTTATTTACCCCCATATATTTATATATATATATGTATATATGTATCGACGCGGATAGTGCAAATCCGCGTATCCACTTTGGAAGCAGATTATTAGAAAATAGTTTGAGCTGAAATATTTTCTATATTAACTACTTTTAAGATAATTTTTTCATGATCAGTAATTATTTAGTGTTTAATTTATTACGATATATAATATACATACAATGTTCGTATCACCGGATGTCCCTGTTGTTCTCTCCCGGGATCAACTTCTTCAGGAGCAGATTTAGCTAACATACGCTCCACGTCCAAAATCTTAAAACAAATACCAGTATTATTCAATGTTATTCAATTTCCTTAAAAAAATCCCATTTAAAAACCGCACATAAACATAGTCCAAAATGATAATTAATTATTAGGAAAACAAAAATATCACAAACATACCAAAAAATTTACCTAGACTGAATTCAAATCCAAAAAACCTTTATACCACATCAAATTAAATCCAAAAAACCCTTATACCAAATCAACCAACCTTAATACTAGCATCAACGCTGCCAGTAGCTACCAGTTGTCCACAAGCACTGAACGCCCCGGCCCTACAAGACATCTTATGTGATGTTACATAAGCTGTTTCATACGTGGCCGGTTCAGGCGCCAGAGATGACGCGTCCATCTCAAATTCAAGATCTGATCAATAAATATACATATATATCATTAAATGTATTAAAATTTATCAATATTATGGGTTAATTATGCTGTTTTTCTAGATTTATCTAGAATATAGATTATTCTACCTAATTAAATATACATATGTATATTCTTCTACTTGGCATTTTCCCAGCTTTAGCCAGGGTCTGCTATATATTGTGAATAGTTTTTTGGCTAATTGTTTTTTATGACCGGCCGCCTGCCTGACATGAACCCTCTTTGGGAATGCATTAATCAGTAATGTCTAAATACTCTTAGAAAATACATATGACTTGGAACAATCACATTGTTATTTGCCAGGATCGAACCCGCGCCTTCGTACATGAGAGGCGTGCCTTTTAACCACTAGGACACCACTGACGATACGTACATGTATATAATTAACTATATTTATTCAAGTTTATCAATATTATTCATAAAAAATTCTACCAAAAGATTCTATTATTCTATCATAGATTTCTAGAACATTCTAGAATGTTCTATCAATATATTACCAAAGCCAGTAGTTCCCAGCAGATGTTCAGCCCCGCTAGATGCCGCTAACCTGTCCTTTCGATCTGGTTCATGTTGTAAACCGACCATCATTAGATTTAATAATCTGAAATAGAGACAAAACTTCTCATCATTCAATGTATTCACGGTGCGTGTGTCGGGTCCATCGTTGTAGTGAGAGGAGCTTCAACAGTGACTGGGACTTGTGACCCAGGTGTAGGTTTAAGGGACCCTATCTAACGTTAAACGCTCACCTCCACTGTCCAAGCTCCTCTCTCTACCTAACCAAATTTGAAAAGATCCTACTACATTAATTTACCAAGATGAGTTTTAATTTTGTTGTAAAATTAACTACTCTTGTATACTATGGCTGGTAGAAGTTTTAATCTTGTTTAGGTAATCACTAATTCTTCAATATTTTCATTTAAAATTCTTAAAATTATATTGATTGATAGTGATTTCAGTTTTTTCTAGTATTTATTTTATATCTTCCATACTATTATAACAATGGATTATTATTTATAAGTCTTCAATCATACATTTTATATGAATAAATAGTTCAATTAGGTTATCACCAACTTCAAAAGATTTTTTATTATATTAGACACCTCAAAACCTTTAAAGGCCCATTATATTTAACAAATTGCTTTTTAAACTTAATTTTACTATTACAAAATATCTTTAAACAAAAATCAAGGTTTATATTTATAGAAATGAATATTTTTGTGTAGTGACATCTCGTCTTTGTGATCACGGTTGCTAAAAGTAATTGAAACATCGGGAGTATTTAGTTTTTTATCAAAAAGACGAAACTTCTCATCATTCCATGTATTCACGGTGCGTGTGTCGGGTCCATTGTTGTAGTGAGAGGAGCTTCAACAGTGACTGGGATTTGTGACCCAGGTGTAGGTTTAAGGGGCCCTTATCAAAGGGACAACAATCTTAGATCTCATTATTTTTGTATAGTTTACGTTACCTGTCACTCGGAGGGCAGGGTGGGTCGGCATGAACAGCGGCCGATAGAGTAGCTGCTATAGGTTGAAAACCGTCGTAATGTAACTGACTGTAACATGAAAAATATAATCATTATTAAAATAAACCAATATGCTTGCTGACAGAACAAGAAATAAGGAATGAAGGAATAGTTTTATTTTTAACTATAAAATATTTTTTACATTACTTACATAGAGGGTATCACAAGAACTAATTTGATATATACAACAATTATCACTTTAATAGAATGAAAATTTACATATGTACCAAATTATGTTAGTTGAAAAGTATAGTATTTTTAACAGTTTTTACTTGTAAATATGTAAATAACTATTTTTTAAATTCCACTGGATAGTGCTTGACTGATTTTTAACCTGTTTGAAGATGGAAATGCAGTTGTAGGTTGTGAATGCACTATCTCAATATCATCCTTTTCTTGGAGATATCCAAATTATAGGTAAAAGGAAATATATTAATTTATAGGGTTATCGATTTATCATTCATAAAATTAAAATATTATACCAACAATTATATTGAAGAGAACAAAATCAAGGAACACCATAGTTTCTTCAAATATATAAGTATTTCTTTTAAGTGTGATTACAATTATTGACAATTATTTACTGAATTTTCTGTTTATACTAATAAATTTATAAAATTAGAGTAAACAAGATTAATTTGATTGAATATAACATTAAAAATTGTCATCGAAATGAATGTTTTCTAAAATTATTGGTATTTAGATACAAACATATAACCTCAATTTTTAAGTTCACATAATTAGATAACTTTAATATTTTCTAAGCTTTATGAACAAATGTAAACCAAACGATATATTCGTTATTATGAATGATGAAATGCAAATATCGAGCAAAAATAGTCTAAGAAGCCTATTTGTTAAACATACCTACCTTATAATCATTCGATATAGAAGTTCTCTATTCTTCACTACATTTCTTGTATCTACGTCTGGAGTCGGAGTTTCCTTCATTGTTTCTTCCGTAGTTGATGAAATCTTGACAAATTAAAGAACCGGCGAAATATGTTGTTTATAAATACACAACAAAATAGCTTTTTATTTGAAAACTGACAAATGACAAGTATAATTTGACGTCCGTACAGTCTCAATGTCTATGGCAAGTGCGGGCTTTCAACGCGATTCTATTTATAGCGAACAAAATCGATATCGTCTCCCCTACCGGTGATGCGAAATTATGAATTTTCACGGCACATGGGACAGGTATAATATATAACTAATATATATGTCAATGTATTTAAAGCTTTATATACAATCCTAGGTTTTAATATTCTGTAATGTAGTTGTATGATAACTATTTCCATTTAATATTTTAAAACGACATGTTGAATAAAAATTATATTTCGGGGTTTTATATTTTTCGTCTTAATTTCTTTTTTATTGCTACAATTATTTTAAGATATATACAACTTTCAAAAACACTGTTATCTGGATAAACACATTATATTATATAAAATATATTTTCCAAGTTTATTAATCTACGTTCGTAACTAAAATGTATCTCCAGAGTTAAATAACATTAGCATTACTTTTCTAGTATCTTGAAACTTATTATTTCCTGAGTTAAGGAGATGGTGTTTAATTTGACAATGTAACAAATAATATTATAACAATACAAAATCCTAATTTTATTAGTTTGTATCTCGCCTATTTTATAAACTGATATGTTCTTTAGAGAACCATTTAAAAATATCTTCTAATAAACTTTTTTACATCTAATAAATTAATCATCCCCTATTTTGTTTTTAAATTATCGTAACTTTTAATGTACTTTCTACTTAATAAATAATTCATCATCGATATTACGTTTACTAATACATTGAAATAAATTAATAGGACATATATTTTTAGGTTCTTTTAACTGGATGTCGCTGTGTGGAGCTCGACTGTTGGGACGGTGATGACGGTAACCCAGTTATATACCACGGACACACGTTCACCACCAAGATACCGTTTAGAAAAGTGGTTGAGACCATTGCAAGGTATTGTATGATAAAATAGATTAATATAACTCGTATATATTAAATATAGGTTATAAAGAGATTTAATATATTTGTATAAGTCATTAATTAGTTTACTTAATAATATATTTAATAATTATTATACAAATTATGGAACCATTAAAACGTTAATGAGGCTTGAGAATGTATTGGACAACTAATATATAACCAAAAACGGTTGAAAATACAAAATCTTAGTTTTATTTAGGCAAACGCAATAGCCTTCTTTCCGTAGTCTTTTATTCTTTATTGTCATTTCTCTAATGTTGCTACATTAAACTCTGGATTTACTTATAAAATAGGTAATAAAAAAAACTTAAAAATAAAACCCTCGTCCCACACACACTCATATATAAGAACTAATATATGTAGCTATTATGTGTTACATTATAGAAGTGCCTTCGTAACGTCTCCGTACCCTCTCATCTTGAGTATCGAGAACCACTGCAGCCTGCCGCAACAACAGGTGATGGCGAGCACGTTTGAGGTCAGTAATGCTTGCAAAAGGAGTAGATATAACTTAAAACTGTATTCAAATAAATATTTATAAGTTTTCAATACCAATAAAACCATATTTTTTGCGTTTTAAGGCTTACTTTTATGTTCTTTTAGGATATAACTTAGTCTTTGTTATTATTAGTAAAATCTAAATACACACTTTCATATAATTTAGTGCGATTCCGTCCAATACTTGTCCTTTTTATTTATTGGGTACAGATGGATTATATATGGTAATAATGTTATATTTATGGTAATTCTTTTAAGTTTTAAGTACTGTCTTTAAAAGAAACATATTATTCATAGATACAATACTGAAATTATAGAAATTATAATATCCCTTCACATAAGGATCAAATGTCATTTATTAGTAATTTTTATAGTATTATTTGTACATATTACTAGTATTACTAACTCTATTTTCATCCAGGCAGTGTTCGGAGAGCAACTGGTGACGTCGTTTCTGTTCGAAATCGATTACACAGACGAGCCGCGTCTACCGAGTCCAGAACAACTTAAATACAAGGTAAAACTTCAATAACGATTAATCGATTTTATAAATCGTTTATATAATCGCGGTTAGAAACCGCACTTTTGCCAATAAAATAGAATAGAGTTTATGTTGCCATTGTTAATAGATGAATTATTGAAATACCCCGGTTAACGCGACCCCGTTGTGCGCGGTTTCACTATAACGCGATTTTCAAAAATTTATTCAGCTTGGGACATTGCGGAGTTTAGACAATAATGATGACCGTGTCTTGAACGTGTGTCAAACGATTAAAAACAGTGTTTGGTGTTATGAACGTATTTTACAAGAACGTAAACAAAACTCTACCCAAAAGACAATACATGTATTTTTTCGTAAAAAATGGGAATACCTATGTATTGTTTTTTTTTTTTTTTTTTTATGTTAAAGGGGGCAACCGAGCAGACGGCCTACCTGATGGAGGTAGTACCGTCGCCCATAGACATCCGCAACATAAGACATGTTGAGGATGTGTCACCACCCTTGACTTGGGAAGAGGAGAAGGAAAAATGGGAAGGGAGAAAAATAGGAAGGGGTAGGAAAGGATGGGAAAAAGGGAAAGGGTAACCGGCTCTCTCACTCATCGAACGAAACGTAGCAACTAAGGCTACTTCACGCCGATCTTCTGTGAGAGGGTGGTACTTCCCCGGTCGAGCCAGCCCATGTTTGAGCTGTAGTAACTTGACCACAGCTAGGCTCTACCACCTCAAAAAGTATAGTGTTCTTAGAATTAAAGTGATTGAATAAAATGATTTTTATATTTTTGTATTAAATTTTGACTGTGTTTAATCATAAACCTCGATATACGCGAACGTCAGTTAACGCGATTTCCTTCGGAACGTATCCCTCGCGTAAAGCGGGGTATTACTGTACAATAATGAGTAAATTAAAAAATTAATATTTTCTTAAAGAAGTTCCTAAATTCTTTTTACCAGGTACTAATTAAAAATAAGAAGATGCTACCGGTGGAATCGAGTCCAACTGTGGGAATTACCGGCGCCAGTTCAGCTCAAGGCTATGGCGGAGTTTTATCTACGGCTTTTAGGTATTATAAATCACAAATAACGGACTCATAATAAGTAATTACTTTAATTAATCAAATTATAACATGAATTGTTCGCTGTGAAGTAAATTTATGAGAAAGGTTTCATAGGGAATGTGTTCGCAATTTATTTCGTATTTGCGTACGTATTAAAAGACATACATTAAAGAAAACACATAAATATATATAAAAATAGTAATGTTATATGCATTAATTTGATTAGGTATGATATTTGTTCAAAACTAGTGACTATTATACACTGTTTTGTCACGTCTTGTATTAAAACAGAAATAGACCATGAAATATATACACTTTAATATGCACTTTAATTCGTTGTACAGTTTCAATCTTGATTCTTAATGTTCATGTTACTTCCAGTAATGTGTCACAAGATGTGTGAAGCCAGTATTGATAGTTTACAAACACGTGATACTTATGTTGATACATTACAATGGTTCAGTATTATCATTCATTATAATCACTCATCATGATAATTGTAAGGATTATAGTATAATTAGTACGACACAGATGGCGCCACTTTTAATAGTTTAGTTTACTATCCCGTTATACTAGATGGCGCTACTTGTATGTTTATAAATGTTTTAAATTCAATAATTTCTTTATATCTAGGGCTAATGGGATTCGTCACACCAGTTCTTCATTACCAGACGCGAGTAATAGAACCAGTTCAATCATGTCGAACCAGTCGGCTGGATCATCACTCACGGAGTACTTTTCTGATGAAGACTATGATGAAGATGATGAAATCGACGGTATATAGTAGATTAATGTTTAGGAAAACTCGTATTTACTTGTGTTGGTATACACAAATGTATATCTAAATGATTTTTGCAATTATCTTTCGTAAATTTAATGAATGAGGATTTTTAAGGAACATTATGTTAATTACAAATTATATACGCAAAAATTCTAATAATTTGATTGTAGATTATAGAAAATAATTGCAACATTAAAACAATCGAACGTTAATGAAAGCAACGTTTTGTAATCCTTAAAAAATTATACCGTTTTATAGAAAAAGAGCTGCATAAGATCCTGAATTCTTTCGAAGATAAAGTGGGTAGGACGTCTCTCTCGCTCTACCAGAGCTTCCGTAGGGGGGAGGGAGAGGGAGAGAACGCGGCAATGAAACACGCAGCCAACAGAAAGAGAAGTAATCAAATAGCGAGAGAATTAAGTGACATGGTCACGTACGTTCAGGTGAGAGTTTGACTTCACCTTAACAAAACAACTTCCCCTTAATGACCAGTGTTGTTGAGAATATTTTTTATAAAAATAACGATATTATTTCTAATCATGATTATTCTGATTTTTAACATAAATATAACAATTTAACTATTAATCGAAAACAAGTAGAACAATAGTGTTTCCATTTTCAGAGTCGTCCATAGATTATAAAGTTAGCTTCTAATACTTAATATATTGATCTTTATGATATTACATTATTATTTTTAAAGTATAATGTTAATTTATTCATGTAATTTTGTAATTTTTTATCACTACTGCTTAAGTATAATTGTTTTAAATTTCAACGCAATTTTCTAATCTCTTTGAATTTTGATAGTGAAATATGTTCTAAAAGAAAGTACTTTTAAATATATATGTATTAAGAAGTACTTTTAAGTACAGGTTGAATTCAATTCCCCTAATTTTACCATTAATTTTATGTTTTTTCATCAGGCAATCAAATTTCGGGGTCTTACCCCGTTGTCTCCTCGAAGTTCAGTCCGAGCTGCTCCCAAAGAACCTTCTGCAGCTTGCAGCTTCGAATCATCGGAAAGCAGTGACAGCGCTCAGAGCAATGTTAGTTTAAAACATAACTATATATAAAAGAAAGTCGTGTTAGTTACACTATTTATAACTCTAACGACTGTACGGATATGGATGATTTGGTGGAGAGATAGATTAGAACAAGGAGACGGACATATGATATTTAATAATGTTCGATCGAAAAAAAACTTAATAATTTTCAATATCTGGTTATTTTTGGCCTTTAGGGCAGAATAGAGTTCCCCCGGTCAGCTATACATATATTGCTAATGACGAAATTAACGCGGACGAAGTCGCAGGCAAAAACTAGTTATCTGCCAAAGTTTTTTCTTGTCTTATTTTTAATACATGTGATGTGATATAATATAAATGTTAAATATAAATAAAAAAAACCTGCCTTTATCGAGTGGGTACTAGAGAAAATTAGGAAATCTTTGTCGGTAAACAAATAAGACTAACTGACAGACTTTCATCTTTCCATGATCACGGTTGATGTAAAGCAACCGAAACGTCATGATCATGTTTTCATTTCAGCCATTTGAGGTCCACTGTTGAACGTAGATTATGTAGTATAAAATAATAAAAAAACGCGTAGTATCCGAAAAACTTAGATTCATTTAAATGAGTACAGACGAAAATCCTAGATCAATAACAAATCTATCCCTACTAATATTATAAATGCGAAAGTAACTCTGTCTGTCTGTCTGTTACGCTTCCACGACTAAACCACTGAACTGATTTTAATGAAATTTGGTACAGATAGAGTTGACCTTGAGAAAGAACATAGGATAGTTTTTATCCCAGATATTTGAAAGGTTCTCTTGGGAACGTGATATAACCCAACTCGACGCTGGCGAAGCTGCAGGCGGAAAGCTAGTAGTTAATATACTTTTAATTGGTATTAATAGTTGTTAAACTTCTTATAGATGGCCCACCAGCGCGGTCGTTGTCTCAATACGCCAGCGATTCATCATCCTTGCTATCGCTGTTCCTCGGTCAACGAAGCCATTGCTAAGAAGATTTGCAGGAAACACCCTCTGGCGCTGATAGCTCACACTGAGACACAACTCGTCAGAACCTATCCCGCCGGGTGAGCCAAAAAGTTATAGGTACTTTTTTAAGCGAAAGTGCTCAACTAAGAAGATATCCTACCTGATGTAGGTAGTACTATCGTCCATTGACATCCACAATATAGATTTTGCGGATGTTTGCTACCCTTGATTGGAAAACAGAGGAACAAGGAAAGAGCATCCGTCTATCTCACTCACTCACTCTCTTCACGCTGATCTTCAGTGTGAGGGTGGTACTTACGGTCGAGACAGCACACGTTCGAGCTGTAGTAACTAACCATAGCTAGGGTCTATCTATCTCAAAAATACAGAAAAGAAGCTTATATTATACAGAAAAGCACTAACAGTTTTCAATAACAAAGAATATATGAAGATTTGAAAGTAATATACAGTTTTTTTATATGGAGTATATGGCATGATTAATATTAGTGAAATCATTTGCTCAATAAACGTAATTTAACTCAAGTATAAATAACAATTCCATAGATTATTATCGAGAAGTTGCTTAAAATATATGTTAATTCAGAAAACCTTAAAGTACTTAAAGTTTACTTCCATAATCTATTTTGTTTTCATGTGTAGTTAGTTCGTTTTTATCGTCTTTTTTATTATTAGTAAGATTTTTATTATTAGTAAGATTTATCTCACAAGAAATTAAGAACTATTCACACAGATTGTAGGTTATTTGAGTCCCAAAGCCAAAAATTTGGAATATTTGAAGGAACAATACTACTATAATACTTAAATACCATTATATTTACATATAATTTATATATACCTATTATGTGTATATTCATAGCTTTAATTGCTTATAACCTGATATTTTCAATCAGCCTAAGGATAGACTCTTCGAACTTTGACCCCGTGACCTTCTGGTCGTGTGGCGTCCAGCTTGTGGCGCTGAACTATCAGACAGAAGACGCCGCTATGGCAGTAAACGCGGCCATGTTTGAGACCAACGGCTGCGTGGGTTACGTCAGAAAACCAAAAGTCATGTGGGATTCCTCACATATAGCGTACAGAAGGTTTGTGGCAACTTATGATCTATTTTTTATATGATTTTTTGTTTTTGCCAATCAATATTTGAAGATTGCATCCCAATTTCGTTTTTGGTACTCTATTTAAATGACTTTTTCGTAACTTTTTTCTGCTACTTCGTTTTTATAGCTCAGTTTGAGTATAAAATTTTGGCGAACTCCTATTTCATATACTAACAGAGAATATTCATAGTTAATTTAAGTCCATACTAAATAGAAGAGGATTTATTTGGGTATTATCATCCCTTCTTTCCTAAATATATTTATATATATATATATATATATATATATATATTAACGATTTTATGTTCTAAAACCTACCATGAACTATATTCGTACACAATTAATTCTTTTAAACAGATACTTGAATTAAACAACTTTTCGTATATATGGCCAACTTTCTTTCTATATAACATAATAATATGAATCAAAGAAAGTTTCCTATGACTAAAAATGACTTTCCATTCATCAGATTCAATCCTATGGATAAAGAGTTCGACGGTATCCACGCTGCCCATTTGACATTGGCGGTCATTTCTGGTCAATACGTAGCTGAGAATGTATACTCGTTTTACAACGCGTACGTCGAAGTCGAGATCCTTGGGGTGCCGGCTGACTGCAAGAAAATCAAGACTAGGGTCGCTAGACGAAACGCACTCAATCCGATATGGAATGAGAATTTTAATTTCAAGGTAATAACTACTTGGTAAATATATTCATAATGCTAAGATATATATGTCTTGGTGGCCTAATGGTTTTAATCCTGCCTCGTGTGCATGAGGGCGCGGGTTCGATCCTGGCGAGTACCAATGTGATGTTCCGAGTCATATGTACTTTATAAGAGTACTAGAAGACCCGGCGAACTTCGTATCGACCTATAACCAAGAAATATCTGTTACATTTTTTTATTTATATTTTTGGAGTTTACCTATTAAAGCCATAAATCTCATTAATGTCAAAAAAACGTTTGTATCAACAACTACTAATAAATTAAAAATTAAGTAAAAAAACATTGTCCAGCGGACAAAATTGAGAATCTACACAATTCCCAGATCCCCTTGAACACACACAAAAAATTTAATAAAAATCGGTCCAGTCATTTGAGAGAAGTTCAGTGACATACACACGCACAGAAGAATTATATATGTATATAAAGATTGAGACATTACTGACTGATTAAACCTTTTCCATGAGAGAAGAGGCAGCTCAGCAGTGGGCTCTGATAGGCTGATGACTGTAATTTATTTTAATCTCAATCAATATTATTTCCAGGTTAACTTTCCTGAGCTGGCGTTCGTACGTTTTGAAGTGTATGATGCTGATACCAACTATATGTTGTCTCAAAGAGTCATACCGTTGCAGTGCTTACGGCCCGGGTACAGACATGTCAGATTGCGGTAAGTAAATGAAGATATTTCGAACCTACGACCTCTTATATCACGTTTGAGTAACTAACAATTGCGCCATCGTGTTTTTAGTTAGAGAACTTATCTAATATGTATAATTTCCATGTCACAATGTTAGTTAAAGTACTCCTCCGAAATGGCTTTACCGATTTTTACCAAATTTTATATACGTTTTCAATAGGTCTGAGAATCAGCTACTATCTATTTTTCATACCCCTAAATGATAAGGGTTGTTCACCCTTAATTTTTTTTATCTTCGGATGAAATTTTTTGATTTTATTTTTTTATAATGTGGCCTTTAAAAAGTACATACAATCCTAGGTGGTTACTTTTTTATCACCAACCCCTATTTTTTTATATAGCAAAACAACGTTTCTTGGGCCAGCTAGTATATGTCTATGTATTTTAAATTTCTTTTAAATAAATGAAGTGTTTTATTTCCTTTCTAAGTCCTAACCAATATAAAGTATCAATCTTCCGTATAGATTGCTTAGTAGGCTAATAGGTATAAAAAAATTTTTGCTAAATGGTAGTGTTACTTATTGTGTCAAAAGACTTCGGATTAAATATGAATGTGATGGGAACAACATGTCAAGTATATTTAGAAATCTATTGAGTTCATAGCCTTTACATAATGTTGTACATAAGAGATTAGACATATATAAAACGCAGCAATAATCGTACTAAGCTTCACGAAACTTCTTGAATATAACTGTCATTCTACGACTACCCATAAGATATTAAACTTCTCCATCCACCAGCTCCCCAACCAACCAGCCTCTGAACATGGCGTCGCTTCTGATCTTCTCCCGCGTGTCTGAAGAAGCGGCCGGAGAATGTGCGAGGTCAGATACTGAACCTGGTTCACCAGCGCTTAGAAGGAAGATACACTTCGTGGTGGTACACGCGGTGGTTCTCCACGAACCCTACTCCATATTGAAGGTCACTCAGGATACCACCACCAATGAGGTTGGTTTCAAGACATATATATTTTTTGGTAATACAAACTTCTTCCATAGAAACTTATCAGATTGATTCAAACCTGTTCATAAAGGTATAGTCCGTTAGACTTAAGCTGAGTTTTGCGTTTCTGTAAGTAAAAGTAAAATTAGAGTGAGTAAAAACTTTTAGAATTAAATTTATTATACTTTAAATAGATGCATAACAAAAGTACTAACAGTATTCTAGACTAAAAATAAAAAAAGCAAAACTTGTAATAAGCCATATGGAATTATTATGGGGAAAAAAATTTGAAAAAACTATACAAGTTTTTCTTCACTTGACATTGCGTTTTCAACATTTGATTTTGCTACCAGTACAAAGGGTGAAGTGAGGAAGATGCGGGGCGGAGTAAAAGCAGAATAAACCGGTTCAAAACTAGAAAAGAACGTGGCATTCAAAAATTTGACATCACTCCTACACTATCTGTGTGCACAAATGCAAAGCTCAGCTTAAATCAAACGCACTATAATTATATGTATGTACATATATATCGACTTTGTAACAAATTCGTTGTTTTTAAAGAGACGCCAGCCTCGCTGACGTTACTAATGTCACTTCTAGTACGTTCCATGATATTTAAAATGAAACTTCAATTGTTCTAAACTTCCCTGTATTTCTTAAAGTTTCTTCATAATCACATTCTTCAATGGTCCGCACTCACTAAACTCTGCCGTCGTGCGTCCAGACGTCATATTTATACTCAAATTCAAACATAGTTCTATTTTCCTTTTAAACAGACTTTGATTTCGTTTTACTTTTAACAATAATCATGAATACTAGTTAGTTTTTATAATAATTGATGACAGGCTCAAGTTACTTATACAGGGTGACTGGTGAATTACTATCAATATTTAAGGAGCATACTCGGTACATGATTCTCATTCGAATTATGTAAAAAAAATAGGTACTTAATTTTCGACCAAATTTCCGTATAAATAAATAAAGTGTTTACACGTTCCAAGTGTTCCAAGTGTGGAAGCGTGCGGCGGCGGGCTGATACAAAACCACGCCCCCGCCGCGTGTGTGTGAGTGTATGTGTATACCTAATCTGTAGGGTGTTCATACGATGCGTAATTAATTACATAACTTTTGGTTAACTTTACTTAGAAGTTTATTAATATTTATGTTATATTAATTTTTATTTTGTCATATATGATCGTCAAATATCACGTCCTCAAATATCGATAGTAATTCACCAGTCACCCTGTATATTATCCATCATCGGTAGCGATAGCGCCGATATACACAATATTGCTTCGCCAGAAACTTTTTTAATTCTACTAGCTTTAAAAAACATAATACTTTGTCCAGGCAATAGCCCAATGCCTATCGAAAGCGGGGGTCTGCAAATCTGCCAGAGGGAACTACGTGTTGGTGGAGGAAGTTCCATCAAGAACTCCTACGCAGAGAGTCTTAGCTCCTCATGAGAGAGTCTTGAAAACCACATCGAGACCTGGAGCCAAACTACTGCTTAAGAGAGTGGGTGACGACCCCAGCAGCAGAGCTTGGCTAACTAGCATCAGGTAATGAAATATAATGGTTTTAATTTGCTCTAAAATAGTTTTAAATAAACCACATTCCTTAACTTTGATTTCAAGTAAGATATATTAGTATTAGACTGATATAGGCCAATCTGTGTAAGAAACTAGAGGTAATATGCACATCCCTAAAAAATTAAATAACTGTTTCTAATAGACAATTACCATATAAGTCATCATCATCCTATCAGAGCCCCCTACTGAGCAAAAGGCCTCTTCTCATATGTAGAAGGTTAAAGCTTTAATCAAAACGCTCGCTTAATACGGGTTGACGATTTCAAACTTATTATTTTAAATTATAATTCCATTTTTTCTCGCTCTGTCAATGATTTCTAAATACTCTTAGAAAATACATATGACTCGGAAAAATCACATTGATACTAGCCAGGATCGAACCCGCGCCCTCATGCATGAGAGGCGGGTCTTTAACCTCTAGATAACCAAATTATACACCAAATAAGTATCATCTTTATATGCTCCTTCCAGGTCAGCGTCAACTGATCGTCCTCGGGACACTGTTCCCTCGGATGAAGAGGCCCAGGAGCAACGGAAACCAGACAGCTTCCTCGTCTGCATTCACAATGTATGTCATGAAATACCATACGCCATACTAAAGGTAAGTTATAAATAGTAGATTCTAATATTATAAATGCGAAAGTAACTCTGTCTATCTGTTACGCTTTCACGACTAAACCACTGAACTGATTTTAATTAAATTTGGTACAGATATAGAGTTGACCTTGAGAAAGAACATAGAATAGATTTTATCACAGATTTTTGAAAGGTTCTCTTGGAAACGCGATATAATTGAAAGCTAGTGGGTCTTTGCAACCCTATTTGAATTTTAGAATGCAAAAATTGCAATTTAGTGAATATAAATTATTTTATTTATTTATTAATATATGTACAACAATATAAACTAAAATTAACACTCAATGGGGTTCACAATTTATGAATTTATTTCTATTTATAATAGATCTCTTCTAGCTACAGATGAATCTGAGAAAAATTGAAACATTCGTTTTTGAATTATTTCTATGGCCCTTAAACACTAGTCTTATACACGTAGGAAACATGTGCACATTTGTAAAGAACAGAAAAAGTACTTTTTGTTAAAAAAACCTGACAACCAGGATTTATTTTAAAATGTTTTTCTTAGTCTTTTTACTCTATTCTAGCTACAATCTTTTTACATTCATTGGATATAAATAATTCAGATCTGAAAGGGATAATATCAAAATTAAAAGCATTGATTACTTAATATTGATTTAAAATAACTTAATTTCCAGGTACCATTAAGTGCGACTGCCTCCTATGTCATTTATCAAGCTTTAACGAAGGCGAGATGTCATGATGATCCTAAAAGGTTGGTCCTTTAAACATTCTAAATCTAGCAAATAAATTATTAATTTTAATCTATATAGTTGGTTATAGAAATTAGCTGATTAAAGCTCATATATGAGCTGGATTGTTAATAGAAACTGCTTTATAAGACCCAGCATCATTTCAGAGCTTGGTTTGAACTAATGATCGTATTTCTTAAAGGTTTTACTTGACCATTTCTATTCTATTGACTCTATTTAACTTACTATGTCTCCTAAACAGTATTCTCAGTACATCTGTCTGGAAAGACTTCAGATATAAAAAAAGAATTATGAAATTAGTATCATAAGGATAGACCCACTAAGAAGGCCTGATGATATGATTTTAGGCCTAAAACTTCTGTTTACAAATATTCAAATAAAATTTATGCTTATATAAAGACACTTCTCCGTATTTTTGGAAAGCTTAAAGAGAAGTATCTTTTAGATTAAAAGGAACTGTCTCAGTTCTCTTTAAACTTCCCAGAGGTAGAAAAAGATAGTTTGATTTTATGTTTAAAAGATATCAACAAACTTGACATTATTTGCTTCAAATCCCTACTAATATTATAAATGCGAAAGTAACTCTGTCTGTCTGTCTGTCTGTTACGCTTTCACGCCTAAACCACTGAACTGATTTTAATTAAATTTGGTACAGATATAAAGTTGATCTTGAGAAAGAACATAGGACAGTTTTTATCCCAGACTTTTGAAATGTTCTCTTGGAAACGCGATATAACCGAACTCCACGCGGGTAAAGCTGCGGGCGGAAAGCTAGTTAAACTATAAAAGTGACTCAAATGTCCAATTCCGTTCAGATTCGTGCTTGTTGAAGAGCTGGAATGGGGCGGGCGAGCTGGTGCGGGCGCACAGCAACGGGCTTTAGCTGATGATGAAGTGGTTTACGCTGCACAAGTGAGTGCCAAAAATATTTTTACTATGTAATTTTTATTTTTTCTTGACGACATTATGACACTCGTAGACCTTGATAGATTTCAGTTCAGTCCTACTTATACAGGGTGACTGGTGAATTACTATCGATATTTGAGGACGTGATATTTGACGATCATATATGACGAAATAAAAATTAATATAACATAAATATTAATAAACTTCTAAGTAAAGTTAACCAAAAGTTATGTAATTAATTACGCATCGTGTGAACACCCTACAGATTAGGTATACACTGACACTCACACATACGCGTGTCGTGACGTAGTGTTGTATCAGCACGCCGCCGCACGCGTCCACACTTGAACACTTGGAACGTGTCAACACTTTACTTATTTATACGGAAATTTTGTCAAAAATTAAGTGGCTATTTTTTTTACATAATTCGAATGAGAATCATGTACCGAGTATTCTCCTTAAATATTGATAGTAATTCACCAGTCACCCTGTATATAGTTAAGTTGAATATATTGGAAATTCTTTGAAACTTTTAATAACTTCTTCTACAAGGCATTTTCCCAACTTTTAGCCAGGGTCTGCCTTACATAAACTTCTAATAACTATTTAATATATATTTTACGATGTACTTTTTTTGTTTTCTTGACAATATCATAACAGACACATAATATACGCCTTGACTAATATAATTTTACTCCTATTAATACTTAGGTGGAATTCTTTGGAAATTCTTTGAAATTATAACCAACCATCTAAGGAGTTAGATATAAAAAAGCATTGATACAAAAAAAAATCCTTCAAGCAACAAACTAATTCTTGAATTAACGCTATAGCTTCACACATGTTATAAGTCTTCTTCTTCCTGGCAATTTCCCAGCTTTAGCCAGGGTCTGTCTTACATGTTGTGAATAGTTTTGGCTAATCGTTTTTACGGCCGGCCGCCTGCCTGACATCAACCCTCTTTGGGAATGCATTAATCAGTGATGTCTAAATACTCATAAAGTACATATGACTCGGAAAAATCACATTGGTACATGCCAGGATCGAACCCGCGCCCTCATGCATGAGAGGCGAGCCTTTTAACCATTAGGCCACCACATGTTATAATTATGTATATTAATCATAATGAAAATAATATATATGTTTTTGATCAATATCAACAGGCCAGTTGGAAGACTTTAGGCAGATTCGTGCTGCAAGAACGAGGCAGCACCGCACCTCTCCCGCGACACCGCGCCTGCATACAGAGAATACAGAGAGGACTTAGCATCACTAGAGGAGCAATTACTGGTTAGTCTAACTTAGACTATTAATAGTTAATCTGGACTGGTTAAGTTTATCTTTATATATATAATTCTTCTGTGAGTGTGTATGTCACTGAACTTCTCTCAAAACACTGGACCGATGTTTATGAAATTTTTTGTGTATGTTCAAGGGGATCTGGGAATGGTTTAGATTCACAATTTTGTCGGATGGACAATGTTTTTGTAATTAATTAGTAGTTTAGTAGTAGTTGATACAAACTTTTTTTTGACATTAGATTTGACAACTAACTAATATGTCAATCATTCCGTCGCACTTCAAAACACGGAGATTTATGGCTTTAATAGGTAAACTCCAAAAATATAAATAAAAAAACGTAACAGATATTTCTTGATTATAGGGCGATACGAAGTTCGCCGGGTTTTCTAGTTGTAGTATAATATTAACGTCTTTTAAAATGTAAGAGCATATAAGACTGTTAGAAATTAATTTTGTAAAGAATTTAAAGAACAGCTTATTAAAAACATCCGAAGTAGTTCTGAAGAAGCGATATAATTTTTTTTTTATATGAATTTGAGTAAATACCGTCAATTTACATACTAAGTTAAATATCTTTAGCTTAATGAATATTTTTGATGGAATCTAAAAGTATAGCTTTGATAAAGTGAAAGAATAAAGTAGGATATTTTAATTGCTATAATAAACATTTTACATTTAGTTTGTAGATGCAACCTTAGTAAAATTTCTTTTCCAATAGTTATTTTCATTAGAAAATTCATCCTAGAAGTTCTAATTTATCTTCAATATAAATAATCCAAGTTAATGATAAAAAAAATACTTGTGCATTTTAAATACAATCATTATTTGTATTGATAGGTGCTGGTGGATTTCCTCTTGGGGGTATAATGTCCAGTGAGAATGTGAGTGAAGGAAAAACTCCAGTTCAGACGGCGTACAGCGACCCCACACATTGCAGGTGAGGAAATATATCATTATCAGCCTATCAGAGCCCACTGCTGAGCCTCTTCTCACATGGAGAAGATTTGAGCATTAATCACTACGCTCGCTCAAGACGGGTTTGCGATTTCAAACTTTTAATTTAATTATAAGTCCATGTTTCCTCACGATGTTTTCCTTCATCAGTCAGTGATGTCTAATTACTCTTATAAAGTACATATGACTCGGAACAATCTCATTGGTACTTGCCCGGATCGAACTCGCGTCCTCATACATGAGTGACGGGCCTTTTAACCACTAGGCCATCACGACTATGATATAGACGAAGAGAATTGTAATTTTACCAGCTTGTAGGGCAGTCCATTGATTTTTACAATTTACGAGTATATAATATTAAAAGCCAACTAACTACTTTATAAACTTAATTTGTAAGTGTAATTAAACTGCTTCTCAAAAATGTTTATTACAAACAAAATAACCATTCAGGTCAAGCATGAAGAAAATTTTTATGGTCAATTCTTTTACGAGCTAATAGCATTTTATCCATGAGAAATCAGCTTGATATTTTAGCTCAAACACTGAATCATTTCATACTCTATGTTTTGATGTTACTACATGACTTTAAGTGTAAAATATATTTTCTTCTACAGAAGGGTGTCGTCAACTCCATTGGGAAAAGGTATAGGAAGGGCAAAAGGTCATTCGGACAAGGATATACGGTCATATAATCAAAGGCGCTCCAGAGACGTGAGTAACCAAAAACTTCCTGGTCTTATCTTGTATAATATCATCAGCCTATCAGAGCTCACTGCTGTAAGGCCTCTCCTCACATGGAGAAGGTTTGAGCATTAATCACCACGCTTGCTCAAGACGGGTTCTTGATTTCAAACTTATAACTTGAAATTAATGAGTCCAGGTTTCCTCACGATGTTTTCCTTCATCAGTCAGTGATGTCTAAATACTCTTATAAAGTACATATGACTCGGGAAAATCACATTGGTACTTGAGAAAAGGTCCTTTAACTACTAGGCCACCACGATCTCCCATCTACAGTTTCTATATGTTATCTTTATTAATGAATCGATAAATAGCTTTTTAATACATATACAACTTTATTCATCATATAATTCGAGCTTCAGCATCTCTGATAACAATTTTACGCACTAGTGGTAGGGTACAAAAAATTCTATTGAAATATAGAAATCATTTTACATAGCTCTAACGTCATCGGAATGTTGTTGCTAATCTAATTAGGGATATTATTATGTTCGTAGTTCCTGTTATTGCAAATTCATCCGTAGTTTCAAAATTTGACAAAAAATACTGTAGCGATTATACATATATGGATATCTTCTTCTACCTTGCAATTTCCCAGCTTTTAGCCAGGGTCTCCCTTACATGTTTTGAATTGTTTTGGCTAATTGTTTTGAAGATCGCCGCCTGCCGACATCAACCCTCTTTGGGAATGCATTAATCAGTGATGTCTAAATACTAAAAAGTACATATGACTCGCAAAAATCACATTGGTACTAGCCAGGATCGAACCCGCGGCTTCATGCATGAGAGGCGGACCTTTAACCACTAGGCCACCACGGACTTTATATAGATATATTGAAAAAATTATACCTAAAGATTAAGGGTTTTATGTGTTTTTTCAAGGTTGAGCCGGAGGGTGAAGCTGGCGGTGTGAGCGGGGCGGGAGGCTCCTTGGGCGCGGAGGCTTTAGCGGCGCAGGTCGCTCGCTTCAAGAGAGTCTCTTTGAGGAAACTAAGGGCTTGGCGCTCCTGAGTGTGGCAGGTGAAGAAACATATCATAATTATTTATTTCTTGGCACTTTCAGAACAATAAATGTACGAAAATGATGAATCATTGAACTTGTATAACTTCTATATCTTGGATCCTACAACTTTTGCACCATATCAACTATTGCTCCAAATGCTTAGTTCTAAGAATATGTACCATTTTTTTTTGTTGGCCGGCACTTTCAGAAAAGGCCCAAAAAGAATGATCACCTTTAAATGAATTTCATTAAATAACAAACTTTTTAACACAACCAGTATACTTTAATGCGTGCTCTATAGAACCAAAACGAATTTATAGTTCAGCTTTTGGTGGCTATCTTAAAAAAGAATTTTTAATTTTATTTTCATTAATAGTGCTTTACTTGGATTCTTATTTCCACTTAATTGTTTAATATATCTCAGTAAATACATATAAATAAAAATAGGTTAAAAATTTCGTATGTTTTTGAATATTCCTTCATGATGATTGATGTTTTTATTGAATGTATCTAATGTATCTTTTCCTATTTGTATTATTGTTATCTTAGTGAAATTAATTTCTTACGTTCGTTAATGTTATTTGTATCAACAACTTATTAATTGAATTTAATTTATACGTTCCTATTTATTTATTAGTCTTGAATTGTACCTGAATACTGTAGCACCTGACAAAAATATTGGTTTTAGTGTACATATGCTTAGGAATATAATCAAGCTAAAAATAATTTTAGACTGTAGCTCATATGTAATCCGGATTGTATTCTGTTTGTGTGCCTAAATAAATAAATGATATATGTTTTATCATTCCAGGTCTTCCGCCGGCTCGGCACGAGTCTGGCGAACCACAGGGCTTCACTCTCTTCAGAACTAGGCTCGCTGTGGGACTTCTTTAGGATCGATCGAGAAAGACGACGATCAACGCCGCACTCTATCGACCCCATAGAAACTAAGTCACCAGCAAAATTAGCTAGGGATCTGTTCCAAGTGATACAAGAAACTGTATTCTCGAAGAAGTTTGAAGAGAAGCGATGTCCTTTGGTCAAGGAAGAATCTGATTTGAGCTCGGACGAAGAAGATGGTACGGAACGAAGGATTGCTAATTTAATAGATTTCTTCTTTACGATAGTGAAAAGTCAAAAGGAGGAGCGAAAGGGCAGCGGCGGAAGCTGCTTCAAGAGCTCCAGCCCGGAAGAAGTGACTGCGTACGTGCCAAGAAAAATTAACGTGGAATTGGAAGAAAAAATGGAAACTTTGATAGAATTCCTAGCTACGTCCGGCTGCGTTGAGAAAGACGAAACAGAAGATAAGAAAATAACACTCATGGAATTCTTATTTGGTACGGACGATAGGAAATTCGAAATGCCCATGATAGAAGTCAATAAAGGCATGAGTTTGACGGAGTCGAACGTTAATGTGAAGAATCTTACTTTTATTGACGAAACTCCAGGCGATGAGGGGAGCGAGACTCTTGTTGAAATGCTGTTAAAATACATGGATGACTACGGTTCAAAGGATAAAGAAACACCAAAAAGTCTATCCATGACGCCCTCACTGTCAGAAAAATCCAAATCAGATATGACGATAAGCAAATTTGAAACTTTTAGTGATATAAGTAAGACCAAATCCGATTCGACATTAACGCAGACTCAGGATACCGTCATAGATAATGATAGGCCGAGGAGAGTGTCGGAAACTGTCATAGATTTGAGCTACATTAAATCAGATTTGGAAGCTATCTTCGAGGAAGCGGTACTTAGAGTCTGTGAGCTGAGAATGATATTCGAAGACGATACTATGAGTGAACAGGAAGATATAGAAAATTTCAACGCATACACTAAACCACCTCAAATCCAGTACAGCATGCCGTTCAGCGTCGAACTATCGGATATAATAGAAGAAGACGAACCGTCTTCAAAAGGTTTAGAAAGAGATAGAATGTCCTTAATACGAGAATGCGCAGAAGAACTAATAAAATATATAGAAGAAAAAGTTAGTAATTATCACCTAGACGATTCTTCTGGGCCATCCACAGAAGAATACAGCAGGGAATTCGATTTGAGTCCAAGCCACAAATCTATAAGTCTCGTAGATTTACGTAATATACCAGAGCTACCGCCGAGCATGATTCTGAAGCCGAAAGTACTAAGAGTTGACAAATCTACGTCTACAACGGAAATTTCCGATTCAATATCCGATTATTCCAAAAGAATCGATTCTGCGTGTATGACGGAGAATACCACGCTATCATCAAGCTCAGAGAGGAATGAAAGAGCTTTGGATAAGCTTGAATCACTTCATCGATTCTTCTCCAGATCTCGTTTGGAGATTATAGATGAAAGTTTGGAGGAAATGGAGAAACTTAAGAGTCCGAAGGTTGAATATAAAAGCACTGATACGAAAACGGGTCAAGCGAGCCTTGACGATGTAGAAGATCTTGTTGAGGACAACGATAGAACCGAAAAAGATGATAAACAAAACATTGAAATGGAAAAATAATGACGTTATAATATGTATATACATAAATATGAAGCTTTCATTAATAATAGAACAATCAACTTAACACACAAGTCAATACACAAACAACAAGAAACAAAACAAAACATTTCGTAATGAATTTAAATTTTAATTTCAAGATATCTTCATATCTAAACAGTATTTTCTACATATCTAGAAAACCTCAGCTGTTAGCATACTTATAGATCTAGACTAGAATAAAAACGGAATCTATCTAGATTTTTATCTATATATAGAAACAAATTAGACAAGATGACTGTCAAAAAGACATAACTGTTCTTTCAGACGCCATGTTTGATGAAACAAAACTTTTTAAAACAACATAATTATTATAAAAATAAATTCTCGTTAAATATCGAGAGTGAATAGTGAGATTTTTAATAAATATTAAATGTTTAAATTAATTATAGTATAGCATGTATTAGTGTTTTAAAATTATTATATTTATATAGAAAGTTGAATTTATATATGACTAACAGATTTTATACTAAACTCTTAAAATTAGGGAAAAATATTCTTATATGTATGCTATTACTTCAGAATACAAGGAAAACTATCTATATAATTTGCATGATATATTAAAATTTTATTTTGTTACATAAATCTTAATGTAAATATAATTTTATTAACTGGCAACACAATTGTACAAAAAAAAAACTATTTATCTATTAGTTTAAAATAATTATTATATTGTTTTAAAGGATCACGTCGTATTTAAACCGTTAAATAACCAAAAAATTGTATATTTATCCAAAAAAAACTATTATCTACTGATCCTACAACTTGTCTATGCTTATGTCAAAATTTATTTAATCTGTGTAATGACAATAGACTATGCCTATTTCTGTCTATTCTTATGTTTTTATTTATTTAAATATATAAAAAAATCGTCTTAAATCACTGGTAAATATATCTCTGCACTTACTTCGTATATTTAAATGGTCTAAACATTTTTATACCCCAAAAACTTCGCCTGTTATTTATATTAATGTTTATAAATATGTGGGATTATATTTTATAAATGAATATAATTTATTTACTGTGAAATTTCTTTCATTTTCTACAAATCCTTGTTACTTATTTGACATTTTCAACTGACAGGTCTGTCAAACAAATTTACATTGTATAATTTTATACAACTTGTTTTAGATTTACTAATAAAGTTCCTAATTGTGATTTCAGTTGAAGCTGTTAAATTTTATTTAATTTAAAAGTTAATTCCGGATCGTGTCTCCATTCTACACGATACTGGTAGAAAATACTGAGCACATCTTTGCACGGATGAAGGGCATATTTTAAACAACCAACCTACTATATTTTACATCTTAAATCTTACTTAATTCACTTAATATATGTACTACGCATACTTATCAAAATATGTATAAATATATTTCTATCGAAAATAATCGTTATTAACTCAATTCTTAAAATTTCATAACATATTTTAGTCATATGTAATTTCATTGAATTTAATGTACCAAATTTGCTTTGTACAAAAACGTATTGACAAAAATTTATCTCAATTGATAGAAAACTCATGAATTTTATAGTTAAACTTTATATACGAGTGTAGAATTACATACTATAGCTTCTAACGGCGACCTTGCCACTTCACACCTTATAAATCAATATTGAGTATTGACATTGGTAAAATATTCTACAACTGCAGTTTGAATGAAGCAATGACATAATTTATATTGAATATTTGACAATGGTATAACTAGATACTATTGTAATAAGTAAAGTATTAATTAACTAATATTTATGGCGTATACCATCACAGAAATAAATAATTAAGAATTATATTTCAATTATAAAACATTTAAATTACGATAGCCATCTTGATTTAAGAATTTAGTAACAACGCCATCTCTTATCTATGCTATGAACTATTTCGTATGCTGAGTCTTGAGACTTTCACTATTAAGTAATGCAAGGAGTCAAATAACAAGCCAATTATTTGTCACTTACACAACTATATTGGTTTTGTTTTTACTATGTTTTTACTTTCAATTTATTAATGAACTTTCATAACATTGTTCGTACTAATTACAAACACTAGTTTGTTACGTAAATGCTACATATGAAGAAATAAATTAACATCGCCGGGGCGACATCGTTGTGTGGATAAAATATATAACGAGTGGCGCTGTTGTATGCTATAGAATGTAGAATAATGCTGTAGGATATTCCTGATACCACACAAGCTATGGAATGGTATTGCTATCCTAACATCGGGTCATTCATGTAGTCTTAGGTGTAGGTTATAAGTTTTAATATGTAATTCTTATTATAATATACATTTAAGTAAGTTTCGTAGTTTTCTTGCACCCTATACAATTACTTACTCGTAGGTTGGAAACAAAAACAAAACATTTAAATAATCACTTTTATTCACCACAAAACAGTCAATATTCATTATAAAAAGTATTTCTAACAGTAATCAGTTCTTTTTATACAGGCATACATAATAAATTATATATTTCATAATTCATACACTTTCCCGCTTTCGGCCATTTTTAATGCAACAAAATACAGAAAAAGCAATTCATGTGTTGCTAACAATAAATATATTATTCTGGATTTTTATTAATTATTTTTTTCTGTATTTTATTGTATAAAAATAAATGAGATTCAATTATTAATTGAACATAAAATAACTTTGCATAACAAAGTTATATATGCTCACATACAGTCATTTATTTTAACACAAATATAAAATAAATCAACATGCATAAAATTTATATAAAAAAAAATATTAATATTATTGAAATTATATATAAAAAAATCACCGTTTTAAGTAATTCATCAGTCACTGCGGCTTGCTAACATAAATACCTACTATTTTCCATATTATCTATTATATACATTTCGACAAGGATTCAACGATAATTCTAATTTAATTTGACAATCAAATATTACCCTCCAGATATATAATTAAAACACAACTTAAAAATAGATTATTTACAGACTCAAGCACTTGCATACAGAGCCGTAAAAACATTTACAAAAAATATATACGCTTTCTTTAAATAATCTTTTTTGACAGGACCGCCATTTCGCTGTCAAAAGATTAACGCATATACAAAACTAAATTTCTTTGTAATATATATATAAAACAATGTTATCATGAAAAATTGGAATGTTTATCATCAGTGCAATATAGTTTAAAGTTTTAATTGCATTTATTATGTCCGAGTAAGTCACATTTGGACATTATGTGACGGAAGTATGAAAACATATACAAAGGTGACCATTTAACATTGAAATAAACGAGGTCTTTTACTCGACTTCCCGACTAAGCTGTTATATATGTATATAGAATTTTATTTATAACATGATTGCGTTCCGTCTGTAGCTATTTGCATAGATATATTCATATCTGGACGACATTATCGTCGTTTCGCTAATTACCCGCTTATTAGCCAGCGAAAAACTAATTAACAACTCGCAATAACAATGAAATAAAAACAAAATATATCTCTAGAGGTTAAATTGAGATCATACAAATGAAAATTCGTTAAATCCGTGTTACCTAATAATAACCTCGTCACTTAACAAACCTGCGCAAACCCAGCGGCACGTATGGCACAAATCACTGGCACTGGCACATGCCATATATAAAAAACATCGTGGCACACCACAAACATCACCAATACGGAGTGTTCCCGTTGTGGCTGGCGCGATCCGTCCAAGAATTGCCATAATTGATCCTGGCACACGCGATGGCTGGCATTTTTTTCACTGACGATTTCTCTATAGTGTAATTCGAGCCGTTATTATTGTCCCAGTACTCGCAGCCTTTGCAGCGGTAGCACACACAGAAATCCAGGCGTCTGGAGTGTATTGGTAATTGTAATCTGAAGCCGAATGTATCGTAGCTTGAAATACCGCTCTGATTAGCAGGTCCTGACTCCACAAACTCACAGTACGTGTCCTCATGCGAGCTCCAGCCGTCCAAGGTCGATCTGACGAATACTTCTTTATTGAAATCCAAGTTCTTCACTTTAACTGTACCGTCCACAGCACACTCATTCTGCTTTATAATGACATTCTCCAACGAAATACAATTCTCAGTTATCGAGCGTCTGAATTCTAAATAATTGGACGCCGGTTGAGGGAACCTCGGCTCCCATAGATCCACAATCGCTTTAGGAGACGCCTTTCTTTCCGACGGCGGACTTGACACGATTTTTAACGCCCAATATGGAGGTACGTGAGACGGTTCCGTCATAAACTTGACCTGCTCCAACGCATACCCTCTGTCATCAGCGAAAACCACTTTCTTATTCTTCTTATCACTTGATAAACGTATGCACGATCTCGGAGCCGCCTTTAAAGTCAACTGAACCGGCTTTAGAAGGGAAAGACACGGCGCTGAGTAGCCTCTAGTGGATAATTTAGTAGGCCGTCTAACTTGCGGTGTGTAGTCAGTTAGGAAACCGGCGGGCGGACTCCTACTGTAGAACATTTGCTCGGACGCGAGCATATCTATCGCGGCGCACATCGCGTATATGTAAAACACGTGCGCACACTGTGACGGACGGCGACGAACTAAACGGAATCCTAAAATCCGCTGGCTTTTATAGATGCGCGGGCGCCGGCCACGCAGCGATAAGTGCTATAACGTAGTGTGACCATATTTATAGTGATATACAAACATTTTATTATTAAATCACAACAAAATAACATCATTAGCACCCATTAATAACTTAAATGATGATTAACCATCTATATTAGAGGATATTTTCGTGTTTTTTGTTTACAATTAATATGGAAAATTATTAATTAGTAGTTTATTTAATAATAAAGTATTTAACTAAGTCATGGCTGTTTATCACGGCTCTGTTTCATGATTCACCGTCGATCGTTGGCACCTTCTTAATCTCTGGAGATAAGGCTATCAGTAAATATGAATCTCAAAGCACTAATGTTGATTATACATTTATTTATATATGACATGTTTATTAATAAATTAATACTACAAATGATGTATATATGATGATAAATATATGTATATTTTAATAAATATAATTTGTTAATTACAAATATATATACACACACACATACACACGTACTTGTACACACATAAATATAAGTATCATCCACATAATATTGTATTAATAAAACTGTACAATTGTTATTAAAAAATACAATTAACTCTATGAATAAAGAAATACTTATATAAAAAGATTTAGCACAAAATAACAGTATATTCATACAGAATGACCTCAAAAATGTTTTAAAAACTAAAATATTTTGCTTTATATTTAAGACGACGATGTTATAAAATAAAAATTATACATAACTCATTATATATGAAAAGCTGAATGAAAATAATTTTGTTTCAATATAATGATAATGACAACACTGACTCTTGTCATCTTAAACTGGAGACTTGACAGAAGTTTGCTTCAGAGATTTCAAAAACAAAATATATGAATTATTTTCTTTTAGATCTATTTACAAAGTTCCTAATTGTGACTTTATTTAAAGCTGTTAAATTTTATTTAATTTAAAAAGTAATCCGGGATCGTGTCTTCATTCTACACGACACTGTGCACGTCTTTGCAGGGATGAAGGCCAAATTAAAAAGCAACCAACCAACCATATATATCATTAATTACTATCAGATTTATTACGTGAATTATTTCTAAAATTGTATAGTTATGTTTCATTAAAGTTATTTAGTGTGTAATATAATATTAATTAATAAATTTACGTGTAAAACAACGTGGTCTCCCTACACGCACGCCGATAACATTCGCGTCTGATGCGAACGCGCGTGATACTAATATTTGTGACACAAACGTGTTCCAGCGTCTATAATAAGTTTGTCAATATATTAACACACAACAATATAGTAATTATGGATTTTTGGAAACGTGTTTACTTCTTTTTATCAATAAATGGAAGGCAATGACCGAGACATAAGTATAGAACATATTTATTTTAGTTAATAAAATTAATTATTGTTTAGGATTTATAAATAAAACATCTATATGTGAATGGAATACTTATAACAATTAATTTTAAATTTAAAAATCGAATGTATATATCTTAAAAATAAATAAATACTTCGTAAAAAAAAACCCTGATATAACTTCTGTTCTCAATGTCAACACAAATAGATACTCAGTTTCTTCAATGAAATATTATTACTTCATTTTTAATAAACTTGTATATAATAAAAAATTACTCTTTCATATATCCTTAATTTACAAAAAATACGAATTATAGTACCAATATTATGCTTAGAATGGCCGTGGAGTGACATTTGCATAGTTGCCAAGCAACAGTTGCTAGGCAACGATATTATTTTCGTTTTACACATAAATTTGAATAAATACAGACACTTCGACTGGTATATGAATATTAAAATCGTTTTAATTTTTGTAAGAATATATTACAAAAGAACATTCAGGACGAAATTATCATTTACATTTTAAACGATCTGTCCCGACGCCAGACCACTCGCATATTTGGCGGCCATTTTGTGTGTATTTTGAGAGTTTACGAGCGACGAACTTGTAACGAAATTCTTTCATGTCATTATTGCTTAATAAACGTTATATACATTTATTTTAAGACTACACCCTTTTCCCTGCATATATATATTTTTATAACTTAATTGTTACGTAAAATATGAAATAAATACAATTTTACCTTTAATTAGTAAATTCATTGTATTACTTTATTTACATTTTTATCGATTATTTTTACTATAGCGATAAATAAAACCGTAATTTTATAGTAAGTTGTAAATATTTTTTAATACTAGAAAGCCACAAAGTTTATTAATATCTTTATAATCTATACTTTTATTTTTATCTATCCTACCAGCTTTCTATCACGCGGTGAGCTAGTGATGTGATAAAATCGATGTCAAATTAATATTTTGTTAGTCCACAGATAAAAATATACATATATTTGTATATATTAATAGTAATTATAATTTGCAATTCCCTATTTATCTAAGCAACTATATATTTTTTTACAAATATGTAATATAAATTTATTATATCAATGGCTGAATGCACTGTATATATACTATGTTTTTTATTTTCGTCTTCTTTGCTTTGTTCAACCTAATTACTGAAACATCTGGACCGATTTTTGCGGGATTTTAACTTACAAATGGCTGATGAATAAAAAAAATAAAGCTATTATTTTATGAAATGTCATTAGTTTAATAAAATAGGTTATGAAAATAACCTAGTTTAAATCTAGTTATATATAGAAAATCAATATTATTTACAAACAAGTCTATATAAATGCAAAGCATATATTTATCGTGTGATAAAGAGTTATGTGATTGGGTTACATTGTCACCGAATTTAAATTCACGTTTTTAAAACAATAAACAAGATGAAAATAATGATTTTATACAAAAAATAATTACTAGGTAGTATATGTTTTTCTAATATGGTATTTTCTAATACTGCCTATTGATATTTTTTTAACTATAGCTTCAATTGCATGATAATGGTACAGTATTCAGCCAAAGTCATCGTTTTTACTTGTTTGACGAATTATAATCTGCTTACGTCTTGTCTCGGCTTTTAAAACTGTTCTCAGACGCATACTCTAAAGAATTATACCCTATACTTTTATCAGAAGCAGTTTTTTCAATTGGAATAAGCAATTATTACTCTAAGACCCTCTCGGTATACTTAGTCTGTAGGAGACAGTTTAATTAATTGGTTCTCCAATATAATTACCATTATATTTCAATAAAAATTATTTTTATGGTTCTCTAATAATATTTAAATAATATAACTTGACTATATTAAGTTTTGAGTGGAGGAAACATGAAGAAGTTATTCGTATTTGGTAAAAGCATTCCAAACCAAAAGTGACTTCTGTCAAAAATAATGACACAGGTCAGAAATTTTGACATAGGAATTATTTTGTATGGTTTAAAACTTTGGAAGTAATAAATATAGATTTTAAATAATATTGATTCTTAATTTATTATAGAACATCGAGAATATTAATGGATTCTTATAAAAATTCGTTCTGGTTTTTGATACCTCAAAATAAATGAAAATCTTATCAATACTATTTCTTAAAATATTATGTAAAATATGAAGTATTTTTTTAATTAATCCCTCAATAATCTATATCAAGATTATTTTTTAAACTTAGTAACAAATAACAATTATGTTATCTATGTCAGCGGGTCAATGACCGGCCGTTATCTGGCATTCCGAAAAAAACCAATGCCAAGGTCTTTAATAATATGTAAAAAAAGTGTGTTTTACGATAAATATAATAAATAAAATATATATTTTATGTCACACTAAGGATATATCTTCTTCCTGGCAATTGCCCAGCTATAGCCAGGGTCTGCCTTACATGTTGTGAATAGTTTTGGCTAATTGTTTTTACGTCACCGCCTGCCTGACATCAACTAAGGATATATCTGAATTTTAATTAATATAATTAATTATTATAAACGTATAAACATGTATTTGAGTATAAAACAATTTGTTATAATAAAGTTTTTAAATTAAATATTTTGCACTTTTAAATTATTATCAATCCTAGCAAGAAATATTTATTACTTGATAAAGAACACGTGCAGACAATTTATTTACAAAATTTTCTACAAAACAAATATACTATTTTTTAACCTGTCTCCTCTCGTCATATAATTATAACTAGCTTTCCGCCCGCAGCTTCGCCCGCGTGGAGTTCGGTTATATCGCGTTTCCAAGAGAACCCTTCAAAAGTCTGGGATAAAAACTATCCTATGTTCTTTCTCAAGGTCAACTCTGTCTCTGTAGCAAATTTCATTAAAATCAGTTCAGTGGTTTAGGCGTGAAAGCGTAACAGACAGACAGAGTTACTTTCGCATTTATAATATTAGTAGGGATTTACCAACCAAACCATTTTTTTTAAAATATAACAACATTTACATAAGTCATAAAATGGTGTCAGTTTTTCAGTGTTACGCTACTTGATGCTTAAAAGTGTTAAAGAAACTAATTATTAATGTATTAGGCGTTGTACACATTATTTGAAAACAAACTAATATATACAGGGTGACTGGTGAATTACTATCGATATTTGAGGACGTGATATTTGACGATCATATATGACAAAATAAAAATTAATATAACATAAATATTAATAAACTTCTAAGTAAAGTTAACCAAAAGTTATGTAATTAATTAGGCATTGTATGAACACCCTACAGATTAGGTATACACACACACACACACAGACGCGGCGGCGGCGTGTTGTTGTATCAGCACGCCGCCACGTGTCCACACTTGGAACACTTGGAACGTGTACACACTTTATTTATTTATACGGAAATTTGGTCAAAAATTAAGTATCTATTTTTTTTACATAATTCGAATGAGAATCATGTACCGAGTATTCTCCTTAAATATTGATAGTAATTCACCAGTCACCCTGTATATATATATATATATATATATATATATGTATAACTTTCTAGAATATTCTAGAAGTATTTAATTGAGAAAACTTCCAAAT